GTTCGAAACTCGGGCGCTGGCCGCCACCGTCGCCGCCTGCCGATACGAAAAATGGAGGCAGAAACGTACTGTATAAGGGGATGAAAAGGAGTGGCCGAGAGCCGATACATCCGCGGCCTTGTCGGCCGGACAAGGTGAACACATCGCGACGGAAACGAGAGGAGAGAAAAAAGGAAGAAAAGACGCGACGCGACGAGAAAGTTTCGTACGTATGGTCTGATACGACCACGTATAGCTCTGATAGAACCACCACATCCGAACTTCAAACAAGTTCAGAACTCGGGCCCCAGCCCAGCATGGCCGCGGGGCCCATTACGACCCCGATCGACGCATTAAACGACAGGAGGAAAACGTCGCAGGAAAACTTTAGGGAGCCTCGCGGCGCTCCGTTTCCTCTTTTATCACTTTGTAATTCTCCCCTCCCAGCAACTGTCAAACGCCAAAGACTCTTGATCGTTCGTCCTCTTCGGAGTCTCAGATCCGTTCGCTTTTATCGAGAATTCCGACGCGATTTTCGTACGCGTTAATTTCCGGACTCTAAAGTCGTCTCGTCTAGTCTCGTCTCGTTTCGTTTATCGTTGGCAAGAGCGACTCAAAGTGTTGGTGTATGCTCGCGCGTTTCTTATTTTTCATTCATATTAAATCGCGAATAAACTTGGATGTGAGTTTAAATCCTCGACAACGTCCGATCGATGAACAGCGATCGATGAACAATCTCGCTAAAGATCTCGAGCGCAACGACGAAATGCATTACACCCGAATTAATACGTTTACATTTCATCTGCGAATTCAATATTTGTCGCCTGATAACGGCACGCCTGATAGGCGTGTGCATCGAGCAAATATGGACACTCCTTATGGCAGCCCAGGTGGATGCCAGGACCACCCACATGGAAACAAAGCTTGGGTGACGATCGTAACGTAGCCTCGTAGCGATGTAATCATTCGAACAAGCGGCAGAGCCCTTCCCCTTCCCCTCGCGCCTATCTCGAGACTTCAATTAAACTTTTGTGTAGGCCGCCGTGCGTATCGCTAATAAGAAACCGCGCTGAACTCCGGCTCGATTCGTTTAAGTTTAATTTAAATGTTAAGTTGTTGACTCAGATGATAATTCCACCGCGATGTGATGAAGATGGAGTGTTTAGGTTTCCATTTCAATGAGTTTTCATCGTAGCCATCGTAAACTCGAACATTCTGAATTCGACGTCTCTTGTCGTTCTTTGTTTTTTTCTGTTTTACTCCCTCGTAAAATTATTTGGATGTAATTGTATCTCTGTTCTCGGTAACTCGACAAAACTGAAGATACGCGAAAGCAAATCGCTTAAACTCTCCCGCGTAATGTCTCGAGAGAGATCAACTTCTTCTTTCTGTTTGACATTAACGTAACGAGCGATATGGTTCACAAAGTGCGATTCTCAAGATGCTTGCTCCCAATAGAACGCTTTAATCTTCCTTCTTTAACTTTAATCGTTCTTTCGTATCTTTGGGTGATGTGGCAAAAAAACAAATTGCGTGGTACTTGTCTATCTCGCCTCTTGCTACCTTTCTTTCTTCCTCTCCCTCCCTCCCTCCTTCTCTCTCTCTCTCTCTCTCTCTCTCTCTCTCTCTCTCTCTCTCTCTCTCTCTCTCTACGCGCGGAAACTTTGTTTGAAAAGCATCTGACAGTACCGAGACCGTCGAAACTTGCATTACTGTTCGGTCCGGCCGAGAATGCCATGAGTTCCTCTTCCGGTCACTTGCCGGTCTACGTGCTCGAGATACGCAAACAGCTTTTTCGAACGTGATTAGGATTCATGCGGTCGCCGGGCCAGAAGATGAACGGCCGCGAAATGTACGTGCTGGTCGCACGTAAAATCGCAAAGTGGGTCAAAAGCTTCGCGCGGGTGTCGTGCTACCCCGCCCAAAAAAAGTTGCTCACAAAAAATATTTCGATTCACCGACGAGCGAAGGAGCGAAGGTATATTTCATTATAAAAGCTTCGGAAAAGAATCCCTGTAAACATGAAGAAATTGCTGCTTGCGATTTTTTAAACTCTTAGAATGTGTAAATATGTCTGCGTACGCTTCGCCGTTTACGATATTTAATCGCTCACCGATTAACTAAGCGAGGCACTTTCCGTCCCTCGCTTCCGCCTCTCGTATCCATTTTCCACGAGTCCTTTTTCCTCTCTCGTTCTTCCCATCCCTCCGTTACTGCATGACCACTTTTTACGAAGTTCGCCTACACCCTCGCTTCCGGCTCACGCAGCGTTCTTTTCTTCGTGACTGATGGCCGACGATGATGAAGCGACTTGGAAATTTGTACGACGACTCTCCTCCAGCGGGGCCGATTCATACCGGAGATCGAAAGCGCTTTCTTCGGGAGGCTTCGTCCCGAAAAAAAGAAAACCACGCGCCCACACTCACTCTTCACGTTTCAGACGAGAGTGATGCGTGCAGGCTGGATGATCTTCCATTAGTAGAATTTTACAAGTAATGTAGCAAGAAACCCTCTCCTCTTGGAGGGGCAGAGACACGCCTTTTCCCTGTCAAAACTATCTGCAATATTCAACAGGGGGCAGGGGGAGGGCAGAGAGGATTTTCCCCGTTCAAGCGCGAGATGTACAAATTGCTTGGTACAAACTACACATGCGTTTAACGAATTTCGCGTACGTGACGTCGCGTACACGTGAGCGAGCGCGAATGAAGAGAAGGAATGAACAGCATATATTTCTTCTTCTTAGATACACCGGCAAATGCGAGCAATAGACTACGCGCATCCGCGACTTAATGGTTCTTTTCCTCAGAGAATCGGTAGAGGAACGTTCTACGATTTCACGATCCATTCCACGTCCGCGAGCGCCGTGGAACAGCGAAAGGCTTTTTACCCTCCTTGGTTTTACCCTCCTCTCGAATTTGCAATATTTCTCTGGATCACGCGGCCGAGTCGAGCCGCGACGAGCACGAGATGAAGATTGCTTACCTCTGAGGTGGAGTCTGTCTTCAATGAGGGAGAGGAAGAGGAAGAGGAAGAGGAAGAAGAAGGGAGAGAGAGAGAGAGAGAGAGAGAGAGAGAGAGGAAAAAAAATCGGTAAATGGTCAAGTGTCACAACGTGCAATCGTCACCGCGTGCCGTCGCGAGTTATTATTTCAAAGAAAATATTTATAATGTTCGAGTTTTTCCTTGAAGAGAATTCTCAGTCTTACGAATTCGCCTTCTTGTGAATACGCATAATAATAAAAGCAAACTCTTCTCCAACGATACCGCGCCTAGTGCCACAGCTTTTCACGCATGAATCCGTGAATTATCAACATTCAACTTCTCGATTAAGCCCGTAGAAATCCCCGTAGCGTAGATTCTCAAAACATCATACAACGAGAATATTTCAGCATGCACTCCTTTCCCAAAATAAACAGATAGAGATACGAGAGTATATATAATAATACTGAGAAAACATGAATCAGATTGAACACGAAAGGAGATTTTTTGAAGAACAAACGCCGCTGCGAGGTGGAAGCGCACGGACGTGACATCGAAACGTTTGGCGTTTGCGTTTTGGTCACTGGCTTGACACTCGAAAGGAAGTTTCAGGTGTCAGCCATTATCGACGCGACGAACGTGTTTCCCTGGAACGTGGATATAGCCACGCGCCTTAAGTCGCATGCCGGTCGAGTCGATGATGCGATCCACTTGGGCGACGAAGAGAAGCGAGTCCTCTCGAAGACGAGGGAGTCAGCAAATTGGCGAATTGGGCCGTCATACACCGGCCGTTGTTCGAGGATAGGCCACGTGCTCTCCCGGCAGTGTGTGTATCCGTGTATGTAGTGTGTATGTAGGAAACCTGTAATAGCTCCAGGCGCTGCAAGGATGCAGTAGGTGTGACACATTAATCAAAAGCAGCGTTGGCCAAGATTTGAGCCACCCGCGGAGTCGAATATGCTCAAATATAGTATAGACGCCGCGTATTCCCTTTGTGAACCCCCGCGCACATCAAAGGGCGAATCGGGAGAAAAATTTTTCCGCCGGTTCGGTTCATTACTTCGACATCCAGACATCAGGCAGGATCAAGTTATATATATATATATATATATATGAGCAATTAAAAGCTCGAGAAATGGTACGAGAAGGAATTTTTCGTAGTCGAGAAAGAGAGAATACGGGCAGGGACGAGAATACGCGCGACGCCCGACTGCCACACCCTGCGCGCAGCGTCGAATCCTTTCTCGCTGGAATTTCCGAAGGATCGCTTCGTTCCTGGCGCATTGATATCGCAGTCATCGCGGTAGTGGAAATTCCTCGCATGACAGCGCTCGCATCATTAATTTCGCGAGCACATTTTCGATTGCGATGTTTTGCCCGGAAACGTCGCCGGGTTGCGTCATTCCGCATTTATGCATTCAGAGGGTGGCCTCGAGCGTGTCTAATGTAGGAACATTATTGCGCATTTTGCCGAGGATGACTAACGCGCGCGCGAGCTTGTCGAGAATGATAAAAGGCGAACAGGCGTGGGGATCGGGGAATCGTCGTCGCTGCGACGCTGCGGCGACGTAACGCGCTCCGATAAATGGCTGCAAGTCATGTCAAAGGAAGTAGATCCAATTTAAATCGCGGCCTGTCCTTTGCCCAGCGGCCCAGCTAGGATCTCCCCGTCCCGCCGAATGGATCCGCGTTATGAATGGCCTCGTGAGATTTACATTCGGCCCTGCCTCCGAGAGACCAAGCTCTGGTTATACGTTATGGACGCAATTTGCCTCCGTTCAGAGGAACGAACTCGCGGTGACCTCGCCTAACGACCGATTTCTAGATCCTCCAGCGTGAGCGAATCAACGTGACTCGCGAAAGCAGCAGCAGCAGAAATTCGTCCGGGATTAGTGCGTTTCGCAGCCTTTCATTTATGTTTATCCGTCGCTCGCTGCGACGCTCGCTGTCCTGCGGTTAATCGTTTAACTTTAACAACGCTGTGATATAGCATAATACGCTTGCTCATCAACACAACCGAATTGTCGTTTGACTGTTTCCAGCATATGTGTTACTGTTGTCGTCCTCAACGTCCACTTCCGCTCGCCGCAGACGCATAAAATGCCACCCTGGATGAAGAGAGTTTTTATACATATTCTTCCGCGACTCTTAGTCATGAGGAGGCCGCAGTATAAATTCGAAACCAACAGGTTGGTATCATCGAAATCCTTTGTCGACGGTGAAAGCTAGAAAATTAAAGCACGAATTTAAACGTATTTGCACGATACGTGCACGAGTAATCGATTTCTGGCTCTGAAAAGAGATTTCTCACAAAGTGGGGAAGAAGTGAGGGGAACGCTCGGTAGAGACGGTACGTCGCTCGAGACTCGCGAGAGACTACTGGCGATAAAAATCACCGTCACGAAGAGACGCTTGCACCGTAACAATAACGTTGCACGTACTTGAGTTCGTTGCGCGAGTTTACCTCGCATTCGCATTCGCTAGACAGCGGTTGCCCGTTGACTCGCGGGACGTGACACCAGCGCATTAAAATTCCGCACCCGATTGTCTGCATTCGCAGGTACACTTCCGGCAGAGTGCTAATGAGGACCGTCAGGGGGAAGGAGAAGACCTGCTATTATCCTTACCAGCCGTCTACCCAGGAGGACAGCGAGGAGCATCTCACATCCAAGAGATTTCACAGCCGTCCTTCGTCAAAGGAAGACCTCTCGCCTTCCAGGTGTGTTTATGATAATACGAGACGCTTTGTAATTAGCTACTTCGTCCCCCTGTATCTCCATCGCTCGGGTTTGTTATTATTAATGACGCACTTCGCCGCACTTCGAGTAATGCATCCGCAACGACGAATACGCGAGATAACCTCTTGTAACGAACGCGATAGGTGGACCGCGAGAAGAGATATTGAGAAAAAAGAACACGCTAAAAGCGACTTTACAATGCGAGAAATTGCGAGCTCGGTTGTTGACGGAGTCATGGGTAAACCATCCAAGCGTTCAATCAATTATCTCGGATCAACACAAAATATAATCAAATTTCTGTGTTACACTGGATAAAAAGTAGCGTTAACACATACACGAAAGAGAGATGAGAGATCATGTCCATGAGTATCATTTCCCGCGTTTCCCTTCAGCCTTACAGACGGTGCGAGGTTTGGCGGTAGCTGCCTCATCCACGGTCCTCCTCTGCCACCCCTGCCGTTGCAAACCGAGTGCGAGGATCTCTCGGTTGCCGGAGACGCAGGCATAGAGGAAGTGAAGAGCCCGGTGCTACGAAGCCCTCCTGCCTTCTCGCACTCCCGCTGTCCGCCGGAAGTGCATAGATCCTGCATCTGCGTGCGTTTCATTGCCGAGCACACCAAGATGCTCGAAGATTCGACCAAGGTAAAGGGCTGAGCGCTCTCGACGGATTTTTCGCGTCTTCCGCGATAATATGATATGCACAAAAAAGTACATACGAAGCAGATGAGAGATAGATGATGAGAGGTATCGCCGAATTTATCCTCATCGCCCACAGTCGATAGACAACGGTCAGTCGAATGAGTTCGATCGATGCTCCTTTGCGCAGGTCAAAGAGGACTGGAAGTATGTGGCGATGGTCCTGGACCGGCTGTTCCTTTGGATCTTCACTCTGGCGGTCTTGGCGGGCACCGCCGGCATTATACTGCAGGCGCCCACGCTCTACGACGATCGGGTGCCGATCGACAAGAAGTTCAGCGAATTTGCGACCACGACTGTGGTGAAGTGTCCGCCCCAGTAGTCCATGCCCGAGCCCTGCACCGTAGAGAAAGACTAAGGACCAGAAGCCCGGACCCCCTTAGTCCTAGTCTTAGGAGAGTCCGTAAGCTCCACTTCCTTATCCTCCTCAACGACGAAATTACGGCAAAAGGGCTCCGATCTTGCCGATGAGAAATGACTGTGAAGAATACGGGTGCGAAAACGGGCGAAAACGGGCGTGACCGTGACACGCGTTCTCACGAAGTAAAACGAAGGTTAAAAATCGGGAGGGAGAGAGAGAGAGAGGGAGAGAGAGAGAGAGAGAGAGAGAGAGAGAGAGAGAGAGAGAGAGAGAGAGAGAGAGAGAGAGAGAGAGAGCATTTGATTTGATCGATCTCGTCGACATGTAGCAAAAGAGTCAGAGTCGCCTCGAGACGAGGAGAGACGATAGATCGGAAACAGAAGGGCGACGGACAGGTCGTAATGGGATCTCGGCGGTGCGTCGACGTGTTTCGGTGAAATCGCGCGAGTCTCCTCTTTCGATGTCTCCTCGATTCATCGGATTCAACGAGGACGCGAGATCCCTCGCGAAACCTCACGTGCACCTACCATAGTCTGCTCAAGTAAATCGTAAATACGAAGCTGCCACTATTTAATCGGGTAATCTAACACATCAGGCTGACGGACGTTACGGTGTAACGTTGTATAGTAATTTTAGCGCCTCGAAGTGAAAGAGACTAGGGGAGAAAAATGAAGAGAAACGGAACGAGCGGCAAGAAGTGGTGTCGAGCTCTCTTGACCGCCACCCAGGGCGGGAGTCGGTCGTTCGTCTAAACGTGCGCAAACGAGCGTATCGTTTGGCTGCAGGTAAGGCAAAATCGGGGCTAACGAGCGACGGTTAATTAACATTTGGAGACTCTTCTCTCTCTGTTCGCGTGATAAATTTGTAATGAGCGCGACGAGACAGTCGTCTCCAAAGTGAAAAAGTTAGTTAACGCGGACCGCGTCGTAGGACCGCTTCGGTCGGTGTTAACGCGACGGTGTTTCGCGATCGCGCGAACGTCGCGGTGCGGCTGTGTATTTTACGCACATCGTTTCGCACGAAGATCGAGCGTCGACGGACGCAACAACGTCTCCTCGTACGCGTACGTAGAACACATTTTTTACACCGAAACGCAACATTGTCCCGACGATAGCTCGCGATCTGTCGTCGTCGCGACACACGGCGCGCTCTACTGATGTTCGAATACTTTCGCGATTCGGCAGGTCGATCGTCGAGAACGATCAATTCGAGGTGACCCTGAAGTCGGAGAAAGACGAGAGGGGGTCGCGATATCGCCGCATCGCGATAGCGGCACCGATTCGTCGCGCACGAACGATTATTCGCTCGGCGAGGCACTCGCGTCTTTTGTATCGCGCGGCCGCGCCGGCGAGGGCCGCTCGCATTAGCTCGAGCTAATTAGTTAAGCACCGCGTAGCTAGCTCGTCGTACACACAGACCTAGGGATGTAACCTTACTCGAAGTGTAACCAGTTGATAATTTTAGGAACGTACCCGTTTATACGAACCTATATATTTAAGAGCGACACACGCGGACGAGCCGACGCGGCGCGTCGGTTGCGCGAAATGACTATCCTCTCTCTTCCCCCTCCCCCCCTCATCTTCTCTGAATACTGTTATCCGATTATTACATCAGCTCGATCAATCCCTTATACTGGAACACAGCTGGAGCACACTTCCTGTACACTTCCACATCTCTCCCTCGCGGATGATCCTTTTACGCATCTTCATTCTTTCTCGCGTAATTGGTCTTCCTTTGGTTTGTCGGTGAGCGATGTAAATAGCTCTCTATTCGTATGCATGCACATGTACGCGCTTTTCCGCGATTTTTTCCGGGACAATTGTCTCGTGTCGAGAGGTTCCCGCGTCGCCGACGCGTCTCGCGTTATCTCGTCCCGTTGAAAAAAATAAAACATAAATAAATATTGTATTTTCTAACGAAAGGTGAAACACGCGAAATAAATACAATAAAGGTAACCGATAGTACGGTAAGAACAAGTAAAGCATACGAATTCTAAAGCTGATAGTTGTAGGGAATTGAACAACTGTTGAGGCTGTTGTTCAATACCGTAGTTCGTGGTCGTTGTCACACTGTGAGCCGTCATTCATGTGATTTCGTCTTTGGTTCCCTCTCTTTTTAGACAGTTATTACGCGGTTATGTGCCGACGATACTTGTCATTGTGGTTCGAGACGAACCACGTTAGTCACGAAACGCGAGTAGCGTACCGACCGTTATACTCGCGAGAACGTCGCTAAAACTCAACGTCGGAGAATCACGGACCGTTCGAGTCCACACACGTGTCCGGACTGCCGATTCTTCGTGTGTATTTCGTATAAGGAAAAAAGTTTCACAAACGGGAAACGGGTGTGTCCTTTCGTACACGTCGGAATTTATTATATTATCGAAAGGTAAAACAGACTGAGCACGTGTGTTATTAATTTCACCGCGGGACAAAGTATCAAAACTGCCCCGTTGTCTCGAGTTCCGACACCAAGAAAGAGAAAAAAGACCGACCGCGATCGTTTGCTCGATCGAGACGAATATTCGATTTCCTTCTCTACCTACTGATTTTTATATCGGAAAAAGAGAGAGAGAGAGAGAGAGAGAGAGAGAGAGAGAGACGCGAGAAATAAATAGATTGATGATCGCGTGTCGATAACCCTTTTCTCGATCGACGATCGATTTACTCTCGTCGACGTCCTCGATTCTCCGACGTTCTTAGGACACCTCTTAGTCGTAACTAACGCGTAATGATTTCCGTGCATCCCAACAGCAGATATAACGCCATGGTGGTACGTTTCGGATTGTAAATATATATACGGCGAGGAATAACGAGATTCCCCCATTATTACTGCCATTAAAACGCAACGCCGGTACTTTAGATAGCGTTTTTTGGGCGCCGTCATTTGGACTTGCCCGTCGATCGTTCTTCGCTCGTTCGTCCTACGAACAATTTCGGCGCGCGATCGTTGTTATAACTCTCGATCGCTGATCGCTCGTCGCCGCGCCAATCGACGCGAGAGGAGAAACGGACCTTTTTTCCGAGCGCGGGAAATGTTGTTTTTCCTTTTTTCTCACCAGAGACTCGGATCCTCGATCGTTCGTTCCTCTCTGCGAATCGCCGCAACGATCGACACCGATCGCGAGTCAGTCTGTGTCAGCCGAGAGAGATGATACAGAGATGGGCAGAACCTTCTGATATTTCGGAGTAATTATATGCGCGCGCTCGCGTGCGCATCCACCGTGACGACTACAAACCCGTGTCAGATTACTCTCATCAGTCGATCCGTATCCGCGATATATTCGATGTATCTCGATAATGCAGAAAATGAAAAACATCGTTCGCTTATGCCCATCTCCGAGCGAATACCGTCAGCTAGGTGTCATGGGGTCACGTGCGAAGGCGGGAATACACGCTGATCGCTACCTGATTGAAAATCGTCCAGTGAACCGCCGAAGCGCATTAGGGACTCGAGGAAGATAAAAGGGCGTGCATTAGGATCGTAGACTCGAGGGATTACTCTCCTCCTAGCGAGAGAGCGAAACAAATCTACTATCCGCACTAGGTTATTAGGGAAAACAACGCACACGTTTTCTATGATAGAGCTACGTATTTACTTAATTGTTACGTAATAGCGCCGCTCTCGCGCGCTCTCTCGCGCGCGCGCGCGACAGCGGCGATACTCGTGTCACGAGGATCACGACGAAGATTGCGTTCGACGTTGATCGAGCAATTTGATCGATCGCGGGATGACCTTAGGTTGAGAGAGCGAGAATGAAAGAAAGAGAAGGAGAGAGAGAGAGAGAGAGAGAGAGAGAGAGAGAGAAGGAGAGAGAGAGAGAGAGAGAGAGAGATGAGGTGTGTAAATGCGGGTCATGCATACTTAGATAATAGATGTGAGAAAAAAAGAGAGAGAGAGAGAGAGAGATTAAGTTTAAGATGTAAATACCGTGTAAATACGCGATGCGTAGCGTTAAGTCGAGAGGCTATATAACGGGATTGGGCCTTTTTTTACGGTCTCTTCAGACACTTATTCTTCCGAGAAACCCTATGGGGATTCTTAATATACCAACGTCGTATCCCTCTTTGTGACGCAACCGTGTGCATTATTTCGGTCCTCTGAAATTATTTCGAGTCTTTACATCATCCAGTGGTGCGGAAAGTACCCTATCAATCTGCGTTCGACCGAACGCATCGTCAGCAATTATATTTCCATTATCGGGAAAATAATGACGAGCGTCGACACGGAATAGTTCACTGTGAGCGACGTACGCTCGTATTGATTACTTTTAATGCATATTGAAGTGCGCAATTTATATATAATGAAAACTTACCAATTCATCGTCCGTTAAATTTGATAATCGAGTTTTAATAAGTAATTGATTTTTCACCCATACGATATCGTTATCTGACTCCGTAATGAAAGACGAAAAAAAGCCGAATAAATATGTAGTGCCGGATCTGAAAGATCCACTCGTACTAAAGGAATAGGAAATTCCTTAGAGAGACACAAAAATTTCCTCGGACAATAGGAGTTTACTGATATATTTGCGTAAAAAACTCACGCGATCCAAAGTGAAGCACTACAAGACACGCGATAAGAATACCGATAAAATAAAACAATACTGCTCGACGTAAAATAATGAGCGAAATAAACTTGACAGACAGATGTCGTTTCTATTATCACTTATTGGCACAGATTATTTGACACGATCCTGTGATTTGGAAATCGCCGCCGAAATTCGAAGAGAGAGAGAGAGGGAGAGAGAGAGAGAGAGAGAGAGAGAGAGAGAGAGAGAGAGAGAGAGAAAAAGTGTGTAACCTAAAGCGACAAATGCATCTTTTCGACACGCGAGCTCGTTCGCGACACACCGACCGCGATATTAACGATTCACATGTCACCACATGTCGATATGCCGCGTAATCGCTTTAGAACATCACATAGTGTGTTCGCACATTGCGACACTGATAAGGACGTGTCTGATAAAATGAAGTGAATTGTATAAAGACAATAACACGTTGAAACCTCTTCGAAGCGATCGATTGAAGGGATTATTTGCGAAACAAGACGTATCCTCCGAATCGTATCTGTCAGAGGATATCTGCGAGAGTACGAGACTATACTAACGGCGTACAACTGAGAAATTACTGCAAGTAGTTACAATTAATATCCCGCGAAGGAAATATCCATTCCGATCATCATCTGGTTAATTAATATAGAAGGCATTCAAAAAATTACGGCCGACGTGGCGAAACGTGCCGCAATAATCATGCGACGGACTTGCGCATCGAACTGATACTATCAATCTATATTTAATCGACCAGCGGATGCGCCTTGTTTAAAAGATAAGCCCTTTAATTCGAAATCGGAAGATGTAATGTACCGTTTTTATAGCCACACGTTGCCACACACACGTTGTCTCAGAATAAAGGTCGTTCTCTTCGACAATGTGTGGCAACCGCGTGATTGAGAAATTTCATTTGCGGACAAATGGAATTCAGCGCACTTTTTTGCGACACAAATGCGCTTCAACAACGCTTTTATTTGTTTAAGAGATGGAGACGGAGAGTACGGAGAGGCGGGTGTCGCGTATTATATTAATAACGTTGAGCACGCGCTCGCAAGAGTGGCGCCCGATATAATTGCGGAATAAGAAACATATGCAGTCGCATTTAGCGCCGAATGCGCCATAGTGAGAAGCGCGCGAGTCTTTCGTATCGTTGAAAAATGCATGAAATCGGCTGATGTTGATTAGCTCTAGCTAAAAAAAAAAAAACGCCCCTGCGATGAACCTCCGCGAGAACATGTTCGCGAGAAGCGAGACTGGAACTCGATGTATGTTTAGGACTCGGATTTAACAGCCGTCATTAATCTTCAACAGGCCGAGCCCCACCCGAGACGATAAATCATCGCTTCCACCCTTAAACACGTGTTTGATAGCTTGCGAATTCCGTACTTAACGCATTTAACGAGTTAGGCTAAGGACGCGTGCAAGGACACAACGGTACCGATAGATGACAGTAAAACGATAACGATATTCTAGCGTGTTATAAAACGAGCGTGTACCGTACATATATAGAGCAATAGAAGAGCGCTGTTTAACGCGATGACGTTCAACGTCATGATGACGTGCGAGCCGAGAGTTTACGGTAAATATTGGAATAATAATTACCACCGTTAGATACGATTATTATGTATATCGTTTGTTAAATATGTACTTATTACTAATTATACTAACGACCGTCGTTCTAAGGCTACACGATGTAAGGACGAGATTCTTGTTGCTTGGTTTTGTAATCATGCTTGACAAAAGCATACGGAGAAATAAAACTTGTTGTCGTAGAAAAGTTCTCGCGCAGTTGTTCGCGCGAACGCGAGGAGGATGAGTCGATGCGAGGGAACGCGATTCTCCCTCCCTCATCGTGACGCACGGTCAAAGGAGGATGGATATTCATGTCGATATCTCTGTGAAGTTGTTCGCCGTCAGCCACTCTTGGATCTCCGGCAAGGACTCCTTCAACCACATGATCGCGAAATTAGCGTGCGCCTCGACCATCGCCATCGTGTATCCCACGATCTTTATGGTTTCGTGATTGTCCTCGCTGAAAGTCTGAAACTGAGCAAGGAAACATTAAACGCCCGGACGGAATTAACTAATCTAACTTTAGTCGAACATCTCAGAAGAAACGCGCGACTTTCACGTTATCGCTCTCGTAAACGCACCTTCCCGTAAAAAAAATGTAGGTAAGTTTATAGCGGGGAACTTGAACTGACGCGCGCGTAAACCGCGAGAACTGGTATCTCCGAAATAAAATTATTAGTCATTGACACTTTTACTATATCCTGATCGCGATCGCGATCGTAAAATTGTCATACTATGAACAATACGTAAATCGCACTTACGTCGTCCAAGTCTTCCTCAGTGGTCAAACCTTTCGTCGTCGCCAGCGCGAAAGCTTTTACAATTGGACGGGACCTCGCGAATCTAAAGCACAGAGAGAGAGAGAGAGAGAGAGAGAGAGAGAGAAAGGGACAGGCTAGCACGTTATAATCTTACTTACAACTTTGGACAGAGAGCTAAGAAAATTGTTAAGTACCTCGTGACGATAACCTGCCAATTATTTCGCACAAACTTGTAGGCAATTTGCGCAGCGACCGGATTCTGCGGGAAACTTCTTAAGATCCTCTGCGTCTCCTCCTCGTTGTACATCTTACCCTCAAGAAGCTCGCTGAGTAGCCTGACATGCATTAATATATACATTAATCACACACGTTACTTTAATCAAGCCATGACTATATATTTTAATTGGACCTTCTCCCTTCGGCTTACTGTATGTGTAAAATTCACATGTTTATTTTCGTCCCATGAGGAAAATAAGACTTTGTGTGTGTGTGTGTGCGCTTAATTAATTCGCGATATTAATTCGCGGTTTGTACTTACGACTGCAAGATCCACGGTGTTTGGAAGCACGCAAACGTCGACAAAAGGCGATTCTTCTCCTCGCTATCCGCCGTGGAATTTGCCCTCTCAACAAAGTAGTTCCACTCGTTTCGCGTGCCGTATCGCGCGATGGTGCAGTATAGAACGTCGCGTGCGTACGCCGGTACGCTGAAACGATCAAAGTTTTATCTCCGAAATGGGCAGCGAAATCGAGCCGATATCGTTGTGGCGGTAAATTATTCCGATAATGTCCCGTTGTACAAAACTCTCGCTCCCTCTCTCTCTCTCTCTCTCCTCTCTCCTCTCTCCTCTCCTCCCTCTCTCCCCTCCTCTCTCTCTCTCTCTCTCTCTCTCTCTCTCTCTCTCTCTCTCTCTCTCTCTCTCTCTCTACTTTGTTCACTGCTCGTTAATGCCGTGTGTCTGGCGTACAGATAAACCGACATTTGCGCAAATCGTTCCATTAGAAGCATCTCGAGGCATCAGGATGATACGAGTGCTTCTCGATATTAGACAGAGCGGCAAAAAAAAGAAAAAAAGAAAAAATTAATAAATACTTTCTTCTGCAGAAGCTCGAATTTATATATTGGAACAATTTTAACGCGGGCGTCGATAGAAACGCAGCTTCCAGCCAAAAGTCGATGGAGAACGGTTTGAGGGCGCGGTTACGCGCGCAACTGCGATGAACCGGTCGGAATTTCATCACACGGAGTTTATAACTTCAACGCGAAAAACTTTCGAATGAAAAACAATAGCTAGCTTAACAAAAGCTACTGTTGATTGAATCACGCGCGGCAGTATACCGAGATATACCGAGATATACGTTGTTGTCTGTCAGTGGCAAGTATCAAACGAATGAGAAATCAGGTGATTCCCGAATTGTCGAATCGTCCAACTTACACGTCGGGGTGATCCTTCAGTTTGGCGAAATTATTCCTGGACCACTCGAGACATTCTGCATTCTCGAACGCGCACGCTATCGTAACGGCGGTCAAAGTTAGCCGCGATCCCTCGTCGATGTTCCATCCCACGTCGGAGTACAATTGCGAGGTGAATCTCAATGTAAATTCCTGCGTGAGTTTCGTCGAATTGAGTCGTTATCGGTGGCTCCCCCCGTTCGACGACAATTTAATCCGACTATTATACGTCCCTTTAAATTTTAACTTTCGAGTCTCCTCGATCTCTCCGTGTCACACACGCGGCTCTCACACGCGAGTTTCTCTCTCTCTCTTCGCGCGTAATCGTATCGTATAATTAATCGTATTCTTATATTCATCAGCTTCTCTTCTCAGAATCTCGCGCGCTACTCTACCTGGAAGCCGCTGAAGCCCGACGTCTCGTAGAGAAGACCGTTTAACTTCAACAGATGACGCATCAGGACACCCCAAGGAGCGTAATGCCGTTCTCCCATTTGCATATATTTAATGAAGTCGAGAGCGGTCGCGTATTTCGTCAAGCCGACCGCGGCGAGGCCGAGAACGTCGTCGACGAGCGACGCTCTGGTTTCCGGCGGGAGGACCTCGGGATTTTCTTCGAGAGCCTGAGCCAGGAGTCTCCAATTTTCCTCGTCGTAATGCACACGGTAATAACCTTGAAGGCAATTAATAATAACGATAGAACGCGCGCTCTCGCGCGTTCGCGTTCGCTCCTTAAATTGCAGGAAATTGAGAAATCGATACGTCCTTCTACGAGCGTGCATAATCAAGGGCGCGCGCGCGCATCGGGGTCTGGTTAAAATATAATGAAACTGGCGCGCAAGAATATTTCTGCATCGGACGGTACACAAACATTGAAGTGCGAGACGGGGGAATGTATGTCGCGAGTCTACAAACCGAGTTTGCGAACCAACCGACAGACCAACCTGTTTTATTCACGTTGAACACGACCCAAGAATCCTGAGCAGCGACATTATGCAACACCATCTCCATCTCGGGATGCAACCACGTTTTCGTCGGAGATGACCAATCACCGCTCGTTTTGTTAATATAATCGAGCGGCACGTACCACGTGGACTGAGTGTCGGATGACGACGATTGATGATCGTACGTAAATCTTTCCTGCACCGATTGTTGACCATATAATAGATAGACCTTATGTTTTGCGATAAGCGACAAAGTGCGCTATAGAATATTTTCAAGAGGCGGCGTATTTTACTCGGCTCGATACGATCGCTTTGGACATGCTTTGGATCGCACCTGTCGAATAGCAGCGCTGCCGCCGTCGTAATTCCTCACGATTCTGACAATCGGATATCCGCGATGCGAAATCCAGGGGTCCAACGTTTCGGAGAGAGTAATTCCCCCGGGTAAGCCGACGCTCCCTTCCGCCATCGCTTCCCAAAAGTCATCGACGCTCGCTGTCGAATAATTCCTAAAAGAGAAAAGCAACAAATCTCACGAAGATATACATAATAACGAAGATATACAGTACATAAGAGAGAGAGAGAGAGAGAGAGAGGAGAGAAGAGAGAGAGAGAGAGAGAGAGAGAGAGAGAAACATTAAGATCTCAGTTGGTTTTTCAGCGGTGCAAAATTTCCACCGTGAAAAATTGCAATTGCTTCTGCAAACCGCGCGATGCCACTATCTCTATATCTATATATATATATACATATATATATTATACAACAATACCGTACGTTCGTGCACAATACGTTGACATTACTACTCAATGCCAACGTAATAATATATCGGCGTTAGAGAGAGCGCGCGCTTACGTAACGGACCCGATAAAGAAGCATGAGGAATAATGGCCGACAGCTCGTGACATTCAACCGCTGCATTAGCATAAAGTCGACGGGATAACTCGCTGTAAAACGCGGCGATTACCGTTTCGACGACCAGATCACGCGGCGGTCGTGCCCGAGTCGAGAGCGCGCAGCTCGAGTCGGCGAGCGAGTGATTTAGCGACGACGACGACGACGACGCCGGAGGATGGCGATTAAAGAACGATCGAACAGCCCGCCGAACAGCGGAGGATAAAAGGACGATAATGTGATATACCCACCACCTCGCTATGAATTTCCGGTAGCCGTTCCTAAAGGCGGTATCGTTTATCACGCCATGCAACATGCGAATCAAGCATGCACCTACAAGAAGCAGTCAGAATGCAGAATCACATTATGCGGCGGTTACTCGATGTTGTGCTCGCTGCCTTTCGCGAGTTGAACCGAGACTGCTCGAGACGAATTTTTCACACGCAATTTTCTCGCATGTTCACACAGGGAGGTGGGAGGTGGGGGAGGTCGAAATCATTTTATTCGACGTTTATCGAGCGCGACGGAAGCGCTTTCGTAGCAGATTTAAAGCTATCGAATATCGCGTGCTCGCGTGAATAGATTTTTACGTTGAAAAATGCGCGCCGGAGACAGCGGATAAATCTTAGAAAATAAAGGAGACGTTAGAAAATCTTGAGGAATACTCTTCGGTACGTCTTCTTACGTCTTCTCATAATGTCCCAGTGGTAATATTTAAATATTCAATCGGGCGCGCTCGAGCAGTCACAGTTCCACTTTCAATATTCAGCTGCTATCTCGATGGTAAAACGTTGGTGCTCAGATCAGATTCAATTGTATTCAACGTCGGAAAAGCGAGGTACTTTATTCAAATTTCCAAATCGACCGATTTGTGATCGGGCTGATCTTTACCTTTCTTATGCCGAGCGTTATCATCCGAGAAATCCAAGTGAACAGGATTGATGTTAGATCGCAGTGGCTTTGAAATGCTGTAACCATCCTCCTCCATGGCATCCCATTGCACGTCCGCGATGAACGCATGATTGGAGTCCAGTGACGGGTCTATCTGAAAATAGAATCTCATGAACACTTTGCTTCTCGCTTTCGCCGTTCGCGATGGAACATGGTCTTTGACTTAGATAGTATCAACACACAGGCGAGTCGGTTATTTCGATGAAGGTAACATGTGTCAGGCGCACACAAAACATTCAATTATATGTAAGAAGATAAAAAGACGAAAATAACGAAAGTCCCCCTCCTCATTTCTCACGTAGCTTTCTCATCAAAATACTCGACTCGACGCTTCATTTTAATCCTGAAAGTACACGATACTCTCGACACTCGAGCTGGACTCGAGCAAAATTGAAAAAAATCAGGGAAAAACAATCAAACGATAAAGTAAGGTCTTTCTTTCGATGTTTTCAACGTAGCGTGCAATCGAGCGTGCAAAGATCGCCGAGATCTGTCCGAGCGGAGACTTGAGATGTGCACTTTCAAGATTACAACAGATATCGCAAACGCTATTCCGATGATGTGCCTTCTCGATCATGGTGTGTCGCAAGTGAAGCGTGGAGCCTTCCAGCAGCCAAACGTCCGTCCAATTTTTCGTGTTTACCACACCGCCCAGCCATTGTTCTCCTATCAGGCTTATCAGAGCGCTTAACGCGTCTGTCTTCATGACCATGGGAGATCGATGCGTGAGGTAGAAGAGCGATTGCCTTGAAGACAATTTAATTCGGAATGTAACGTGGTAACATTGCAAAATTAACGACGCAACATCGTTAATTCGACTAATTATATCAATGAGAAAGAGAAAGAGTTGATTGCGAAGAGTATGAAAATGCGCAGATTATTTGATCTTACGTATATACGTAAATACGACGAGCGAATTTTGAATCCTTTGGACATTCGCTCGATCGGAAGTATATATTCTTCTTCGGCGATTTGACGAAGAGGTATATCCGTCTCACCTCATCGATATCAGTCCCAGATTCCCGGTATTGTCGACGATTCGCGAGGGTAACGCGACGATATCCAATTTCGCTAACGGATAAGGCATCGAGAACACGCCGTTGAGATGTTCGACGACGTGGTAGAGTTTGTCGACTAGGTACATCCCTCGTGAGTGTCTTTTCAGGTCGCCCCAGAAAGTTACCGTCGCGTTATCAGGCCCCGCTTTCGTTTCGTCCAATGACTCTACTTGGCCCACCACGAAAGCTAGATTGTAAGGCGACAGCAACGGGGTGTCCTCGAAGGTATCAATCGCCCAATCGTCCGGTCTTGAAGAGAAAAAAAATTGAGATTGCTTCCCTGCTGACGCAATAACAGGATCGCGCGCGAGCGTAGGAATAGAAAGAAAGATGCGGAAGAATATTTCGTTCGCAGTGGAAGAAACAAACAGCACGCTTTCGCTATTTTTTTTTAAGCGAAACGTAAAGCCTCTGACCGACCGTTTCAGCATACGGTCATACGGTGTAATTAACAGCACGTAAATTACGCACGTGTCACGGGAGCTCCTGAGAGGCATGTTCGAGAGGACCCTTGCTTCCCGTGGGCGTGCCACGGATATCGAAAAGACAGCCTTGAGATTCACGTCGTCGAAAATTGGCAGGAGACGCGACGCTCCTACAGGCTTCAACTGCACTCCCGTTAGCGATCTGTTCACAAAGATACGGTCGATTGAGAGCAGGACTCTTGAATAGAAGAGATCGTTCGTACATTGTAAGTATTCGCTACGGTGAGTAAGGATTAATCGATCGACGAGGTTTCGAAATTAATCTTGTCTCGGGCATAAAAGCGATTTCGTTATCGCTGGCGTTTCGTTCGCTTTTCTGTTTGTCGTGTCAACGCGCGAAGGATTATCTCGCCACCATCGATACGGCTGTGAATGTTTGCCGTTTATAGTAAACTGACCGACCGCGCTAACACGATTCTTTTCACATTGTACGAGACAAACGCCAGGATGCCCGGCACGGGCGGTGTTATCGCACAAAACACCGCGCGTATTGCCAACCATTGTATCGTCTTTCTTGGCTGCTTCAACGTATTTCTCAAGCGAACACGTCGCCGACAGCGAAATTAACGCAGCGTCCGTCCGCACAATTTCTTCTCCAATTTTTCCTTCCTTTCTTTTTTCTTTACTTCGAGTGCTCGTCACTTGGCAGCGAGCCATAGTCGCACCTGCGATCTCTTTACCGAGTCTGTTCGATACGATAGAATAACATCCTACTACATTCACATAAAACAAGTATTAAAACAAGATGATAAGATAATCTTTCATCGGCATTTCCCGTGATAAGTAGGTCACCTGCGTAACCTATGCTTCGCATTAATAAAAGAAAAACATTCCTATTAAATTACATATATATATATATATACATATATATATATATATCAAATACACTATAATGCCATAATCAAAAGTATACAATATCAAGAAAAAGATATTCATTTACACTGAACCAAGTTAAAAACTCGCGCATTCCAAAATTGAATTTCTCAAGAACGCTGAAATTTCTTCACGGCTAAGGCGATCGTATCTTTTAACGGACAATTAGCTAATTGAGATCCTTCGTCTCTAATCGAACGGCAAAATCTCTTTATACTTACTTTTCCTCGCCGAAGCTCGCCGAGTAAATCGTCTTGCCGTCGGGCTGAATCTCGTAATCGATCTCCAAGCTGTACCTCCCTGAACTCATGGCGACGGCCGGGTGTATCACGTGTAATCCGTTATTAACATCTACTTCGTACCGCTGGATTTCCACTTCGGTCGCCGTTCGGTTTCCGTTAGCGAAAGTTACCGTATTGGATGGCGGCTCAGACGTCGTCGCGTTCGCCGACTCCACGGCTCTCTCGTCGGGCAAGGACAAAGTTTCGTTCTGCGAAGCGGTTTCATTGCCAGAGGACGTTACATTTCCTAAAGGGTGGCCCGTGACATCCTCCTGCGTGCCTCCCTGTTTTTCCAGTTGCGAAGACGACGTCACGGTGCGATTTAACGGGGTAGCGGTGCCTACATATTAATAGATCGTCGAACAAACAATTATATAATTTTTCTCTTTTGATCAACCATATTATGATTGATCTGTGCGAGTTACACGATCTCTCGACACGACTCCCTCCATGATTGATACGAGAGACAACGATAAAATTAAATTTCATCGTGTTCGATTATCGTGACGTTTAAAACAGCAAAGAGAGAACTCTCCTTCGTCAATCTTCAAATCTGTCGCGCAAGTCACGCTCGGCTGGCCGCCTGATCGCGCTATTATGCTAAATATCGGGAGCTAATTATCACGTCTTATCATGCGTATTTAATCGTCAAACACTTGTTTCCTCATCAACGTACGTTCGTCGTTGCGCATCGGCCGGAACGTACGAGAGAACGTAAATTAAGCAGTCTCGAATTAATTAATACGCCGATACACTTGTACGATGAAATTGAGACGAGAAATTGATCCGTCCCGAATGGCGGATATACCGCCATAAATTAATCCGAGAGAGGAAGGTACCGGCGTTATCGTCATCTTCGGCGCGTCTCCTGCGTCTCCTTCTGGCCGGCGCGTGGCGGCTCTCGTCCACAAACAACAGCTTGTAACGCGTAGCCGTGACGTTCCACGCATTGAGGGACAATTTGTTCAAGGATGGCGTGCCGTCGATGCGGAATTCGACGACGACTCGCCCTTTGAACTTGGCCGTTGCGTTCATATCTAGGCTAGGCGGCGTCAATTCAAGGCTGTATCTCAGAGGATGAACGAAAGGCGATATCGAGGCTATGATGATGTCACCCTCCTCCGTCTCGTCCTCGATCAGGGCCAAGGGATCGTACGACTAATCAACAGAACACAGAAAAATATAATCGTTGATATCTGATAAAGCAAACTCATCGCTTCATCGAACGCTCGACGAACGTTCCTTCGTCGAACGTATCGAAATCGCAAAGTAACGCGTGCAGATCAATTAAACTTTTTTTCAATAGCGATTCATATAATTTTCTTTTTTTTTTTTTTCTCTCTCTCTCTCTCTCAAACTCGTGCCGTTTTGCGCATCTCGCAGTTTTAAATTTGTTTGCACTTGACAGAGTATTATATTATACTTAATCGATCGCTTACTCTCGTTTTTGGCATCGTGCCGATATTCCAGCCGATCAGACCGGCAACGATCACGGCGACCATGATCAGGACGATGAAGGAAAGGACTTTTTTGTACGTCAAGAACCAACCACCTTTCCGATGATGGACGATCTCCTCGCTGGGCGGAGACAGCGCGGTGTTACCAGAATACGTCTGCATCATGCAATCGGCTGAAAGCATTAAACGCGCATTAAACGTCGAGGCGAATCGAGCGTCGTAGATCTCACGGGCTGCGAAAGATCATACTAGAATCCTCCTCCGCGCGCGCGCGCGCGCTCGAATTCTTCGCTCAAATAAATCGTAGTTAAAAAGGAATCAATTCAATTGGAATTGCCGCATCCTTCCCCTTCTGTCTTGCTGAACGCGTCTTGGGAAAGCAACTACAATTCGCATTGTGCTGCTAGCGCATCGACGACCAGACATCATTATCGCGCGCGCGCGCGCGCGCGTACGACGAATTTTGCTTTAGCGCGCAACGCGCCAGAAGCTCGCGGAATGCACGCAGATGACATCATCGAAATTGGTTCCCCGTGATGCAGGAGTCCGCGATAGGCCCACGCTCGTAAACGCGAGCCGAGAAGCGGTTGTTTCAAGGACCTGCTGCTCGTGCACCTCGCTGACCACCTATCACAACTCCAGCGTTCGCATAATCGTCGCGCCAGTGCCGATAACGCTCATATCGACGGTCGCGCGCGCGGGTTGTTTCACGACGCTCGAATCTATTGGTTCAACATTCTAACGTCGAGTAACGAAAGCGAGACCGAAGATGGGGAGCCATCATCCGTAATCGTCATGCGTAATAATGCTGCATGTATGCTACATTACGACGTCTAATAATGCGCATTACATAAAATAATACGTCGTATCGTATTTCTTTACGGTGTACACTCATGTACCGTCAAGTTTCCAGTCACCGATGATGAGAGCGTAGCGAATTTTCGTGAGTGAATTGACGTTTGAGGAAAAGTCGCTGAATATCGCTTGCTGTTACGATCGCACACAGTTACGATCGAGCTCGAGCAATGCCAACAACTCGGAAATTGCATTGTGCACCTTGTCAGTTGGATCTAAAGATCGGGCGGAACGGATAAAGCGCACCGGAAGATGCCGCGTTGAGTCTTCACCCGCGGCACGTGACATTGAGAATTATAACTCTGTCTGTAGATCCATTGTAACATTGATGATATCCTTATTTTAGTTCGTTCGCTCTTTTCACGATAAAATGATGCGACGACAATCTGAAAGCACGCTCTCATCCCACCAACGTGCACTAGCGCATAACAAATCGTCGATGTATCTGAGCTGTTTTCGCGAGAATTAGACATACCAGAAGAAAAATTTCAAGTCAATGAATCTTTTGAATTTTCCGTCACTAGGCGCTGAATCAATCGTAAGTTACATCCTGCTGAATCGCTTCTCTCTCTCTCTCTCTCTCTCTCTCTATGTCTCTCCTTAAATAAAATTTATCTGTTCGTTCGCGCAATCTAAGAAGAGTTGTTCAATGTCTTATTTTCATACGAAATAACCGAGGAAACTAGTTTTTAACAATTGGAACATTCGTGTACGCGCATATTTCAGGAAATCACGTTCACTATGAGACAGTTTTCTACTTGCGTAATTATTCGATGCAGAGTACAAGCTCACTCAGAGTACAAACGTGACTAGCTAGCTATTAATATATCGCGCATTTATAATGAAAACAACCAACTTGACGGAAAAGATATTAATTTGTAACGACAGTGAATTTCCTAAGATGCAATAATTGAACATGCTTTTTCTTCCAGGGACGAAATCGAGCCATCCTTTCGATATTTTTTCCTAGTCAGACATCAATAACAGTTTTCAGTTGTAAGATCTCGACAAAGTTGCCGACTCAAAGGGAACTCGTCGTTTGGAAGAATTATTTTTGTTTCAAGACAGTGAGAAGTTTGTGATGTGCTTTGATCGCGCGGCTCTCGGAGCAAGTTGAAGTGCAAGGAAGACATACGGAAACAGCTGTTATCACTTACAATTTCGCTGTCCGTAGGACTGCCAACTGCTGACGGATCCTCGCCGCATCGTGAAGCGAACTCGAAGCGGTGGCGCAAAGTTATCTCTCGAAGGAACAACGGCAAAGAAGCGCGCGCGAAAAGAACAAGGGCGGCTTTCGGACTCGAGCACGCTCTTTCGACGCGGAAATTCGCGACCGCGGCGCGGCGGCGCGCAGGTGACGCAGGTAGAACTGCAATTAGTCGTATTCCACCTGCGACACGGTGTGTGGATGTTGGCCAAGAAGCACACTCACGAGTGCCTCGCCCCCACTCTATTCTCTTCGTTCGTTCGTTCGTTCGTTCGTTCGTTCGTTCGTTCGTTCGTTCGTCAGCTTCGCTTGTTCTTACGAGCCTTTGCCGTAATCCGCGATTAGCTCCGTTATCGAGCTTTTCCACGCGAGTACAGCCGTCTCTCCTTCCTCTGGGTCGCGACACGCGGAACGAGAGCTCGCGTTTCGCGATATCACCATCTGCGAAGAAAGAAAGCGACCTGATAAGATCCCTCTCCTCGACGTTGGCCAAGACAAACTGCCCCGGCCATGATCAGGGAAAGAAAAGAAGAGAAACGAAGAGAAAACAGAGAAATGAGAGAGAGAGAGAGAGAGAGAGAGAGAGCCGGGAACTCGCGAGCCTGTGCACGTGAATGAGATAAAGATTCTCACCCCCTTCCCCGGAGTTCGTCGTGAATTTGTGCAAAACCCGCTCCCGGACATCGAACGAGACATCGTTCTAGATGAAATTCCCGGTCGTCGTGACCCAGTTATCACGCGAAGAGCCCGTGAGAAAAGCAAACGCGAACAAAACACCTCATCAAGTCCAATTGAGGCGGCACGACGCGCGAGACTCGCAGAGTGCAAGTGCATACGTTGAGCTTGGTCCGGGATCAGCGGTACCAGGAGCCGGTGCCGCCGCGATCAGCGGCACGTGTCGACGTGTGCAGAGGAGGACCACGACGACGACGACGACGACGACGACGTATTAGCCGCGAGCACGCTAAGAGTCTAAAGGGGAGCACAATGGCGCCAAGGTCCTGACCACCGGTCAGGCCGGTGGTCGGTTCGCTGAGACGCACTTGGGCGCTCTTTGTCCCCCCATTGATCGACATCGTCGATCGCAGATTGGCCGTTGACGTCGTCTCTTCTCTCCTCCGGATATACTCGTCGCGATTAGTCTCCCCTTCAAAACGGCGAGGGCCGCGATCGCCAGATTGGATAATGGATGGATCACGATCCATTCGCCGATTTGTAATACCGCGTGTCAGCCCTAAGTGGGCCTGAATTCAACGAGCGAGCGAGCGAGCGAGTCCATGTCACGCCCGCCCACGTACCTACGCTTTTCCGCGCGTTTCCTTCTTACTTTTCGGCGGTCGGGAACACGTCGACGAGGAAGCGTCAGTTCGCGCGCGGCCACGCTACCACACGGTCGTGATCCAGAGATACTTGATTCTTTCGAGGAGAGAGCGAGGGGGAGAGAGAGAGAGAGAGAGAGAGAGAGAGAGAAACGGAGAGAGAGACGGAGAGAGAAACGGAGAGAGAAAGACAGAGAGAGAGAGAGAGAGAGAGAGAGAGAGACGGAGAAAGAAACGGAGAGAGAGAGAGAGAGAAAAGTCGTCTCTTGGGAAAAGGGTAACTCAAGGTCAAGCGGCGCGTCGCTGCGCACAGTCGTAAGGTGACGTCCGAGGTGGTCGTCCTGGCGGACCAGCGTCGCCCTCCGCTCCGTGACAGATCGTCCTCTGCTTTCTTCGGACGTGCACACCCGCTGTGAGGGTCACGTCGTAGTAAGCACTCGGCCCGGTCCGGCCAGAGTTACGTTCGCCGTTTTGCGCGAAGTAAATCCTTCTTCTGCTTGCACGGAGTAGAGCGGAATACTCGCAGAGTCGGAAGCTGATACTCGCTTGTCGCGCTTCAACGGATAAATCTTCGACTCGCTGCTCTCTTTCAGGGAGAAGAAAATCCAGGAAATCGATCTAAATTGCCAATTTTTCTCGTCGGCTTCATTTTCTTAAAGCTTCTCGAAAAACACGGCCTGAACCGCGCCTGAAAATCCTTTGATCTACGCTACTCCATCTTTCGCGACTTGTCTCGAATGTGACTCGGCTTGGACCGGCATTGATCTGATCCTTTTAGAAATTGAAGGAAACCGAAAACAAAAAATTCATTTACATTATTCTCTCTCTCTCTCTCTCTCTCTTTCTCTCTCGGTCTCTCTCTCTCTCTCTCTCTCTCTCTCTCTCTTTCTCTCTCTCTATCTCTCTCTCTCTCCTCTCTCGGGGAAGTTCCAAATTAATTTTCTATCAAAGACCTCTCTGAATGAAGCAAACAGAATTAACTCGAGATAACCTGAGAACGTCCGCATTCGTCCGCGTTCGCGAGAGGCGAGTGCTCGTTTAAACGTCACGCTACAAATATCGACTGTAACCCAGGTTCACCCTGCACGATTCGTCATGACGTGGGCACCGTTGCTGGCAGGACTCGTTCTACTGTCGGCTATACCGTCCGGTCAATCACGAAGCATCCATGATGTCAAAGTATGTGACGTCGACTAATTACGTACTACTACCGTGTAGCCGTGTATAGTTGTTCGTTTCGTCGGTACAAAAGAAAATAAAAGACACGTGTGTGCTCGTACGATCCGCAGGGCCAAACGCGATGGAGGCGCAGTATCGACCTAAACGACGTCTACTCGAAGGTACGCTATTACAGATTGTCGAGCAAGGTCACACCGACCAATTATTCATTGGATATCGAACTCGTCAACGAGACCATGTTCCTTGGTCGCGTGAAGATCAACTTCACCTGGTCCGATACCAGCGACAGGATAACCCTGAACATCCATCCGGATCTTCAAGTCTCATCCACCACTGCGAAACTGATCCAATCGTCGCCAGAGGAACCGTAAGCGAATGAAACACGAGCTTAACGAGGCTGACGCGAAAACGTTCCACGTCTCGGGAATTTGCGTTTTCCGTCGCGAAAACTCTTCTCCGATTGTTTGCTCGTTACGGCGCGGCGAGACGGCGTCTAACGCGAATCTAACGAGAACTTTTACATCCTCTTTTGCATGTCTGCTGCGAAGGGAGATCAGCTCGTCGCTGGGCGTCAATATCGCGAGAACCGAGCGGCAGTATCGAAAGTCCTATTACATTATCCATCTGGAGCAGATGCTGAAGAATGGGAGCATTTGCGAGGTCACCATCGAATATGCTGGAAATGTCACGAGCAACGAGACCGCCGGTCTCTACAAAAGCTCGTACATGGATTCCGATGGGCGAAAGCAGTAAGTGCACCGACAACGACGATCTTTATCTTAACGAGATAATTCAGGAAAACCAGACAGAATCGACAGGAAGACAATATTCTCCCTCCCGAATCTTTCGTTTTGAGTTTCCCACAAAAGCCTTACTTCCGTCAGAAGATCGAATAACGAATAACGAATTCAATGTAGAGAAAGAGAGAGAGAGAGAGAGAGAGAGAGAGAGAGAGAGAGAGAGAGAGAGAGAGAGAGAGAGAGAGAGAGAGAGAGAGAGAGGGGGGGAGCAAAACTCGGAGCACCGTTGTCCCAAATTCCAAACTTTGTTCGAAAACAATAATGCAACGAATCTTCTTCTGTTTTTCAGCATCTTCTTCGCTACTTATGTCCAATTAGACAACGCGCAGAGGCTGTTCCCCTGCATGGACGAACCACCCTATAAAGCGACGTTCCAATTGAGCGTGGTGCGCTTCCAGAATTTGAAGACAATCGCAAACACGCCGCTAAAGACTTCCAAGAGGTATACACGATTATACCGAAGAAAATTAGAGGAATTGAATTTTTCTTTTTCTTCCTCAAAATATCGTATCATGATCCTTCATTTGTCAACGGCGAAGCGAAGAGCTGGCCGCTGATCTTCTCTTGCGAACGTTATTTTGATATACTTTGATACATTTCTCCGAAGCTATCCCGACGGCAAAATCCGAGACTTTTTCGAGGAGACGCCGCGGATGTCGACGAATCAATTGGCCTTCGTGATATCGGACTTGCAGTACATCGAGCCGCGTAAGGTGGATATCAACGAGATTGACGGACAAAAGCTGCGAGTGAAGGTTTGGGGCCGTAAGGAATTCATGGACTCGCTGGTCGACGTTCCAGACAAAGTCGCGACGGTCGTTAATTACCTGCAGAACTACTTCAACAGCTCGCTCGGCCTGCCGAAATTGGACGTGATGGCGATTCCCATGTACGGCGCTTCCAAAGCCTCCGATAATTGGGGTCTCATGTTCTTCAAGTACGTGTGCACATACGACGCGTTTCTTTTTCTCTTTTCTTGCTACGTGCTACGTGATGGCATCATGACTACATCATGATGAGACACATGATGAGTACACATGATGAGAAATATTTTCTCTTTCAGGGAGAGCGAACTCAGCAGCCCGCTGCTATGGACCACCGCTTACGAAATTCTCTATCAGTGGATCGGCCAATCCATCACGCCGTTCCGTCGAGACAATGCACCGGTCAACAAGGCTCTCAATTCGTTCCTGGCGTCTATGGCGACGGTTGACGTAAGAGAGAGAGAAAGAGAGAGAGAGAGAGAGAGAGAGAGAGAGAGAGAGAGAGAGAGAGAGAGAGAGAGAGAGAGAGAGAGAGAGAGAGAGAGAGAGAGAGAGAGAGAGAGAGAGAGTTTGCGCTACTTTGCCCTAATTTTTAACCGCAACGGAACCGACGCGTGTTTATATTATTTTGTTACTAAAATCCTATCGTATCGTAGAAAAACATTGCTTTTTTATGTTGTGCATAAACAGCCGGAAGATTATCCGGAACGATCTTGTCAGTCATAGTCTCTCTTTTATGTACTCTTTTAACATAAAACGTAAACTAGTGGAATTTTTAATATTCGAGAGATAAAGCATGCCTGTCAAACATGCCGTAGCTTAATCCGGACGAGATGGAGGGAAAGTGGCCGATGACGATGTTGTACCCTTTGTACTATGAATTTGCGCAAACCGCGCCTTTCTCCAGAGTGGCCGGCATTAGATACGAAGCGATATGGACGAAAGGTAATGGAGTTGAAACCGCGTTGAGCGCGAGCGCAACTCTCGGCTTCGAACAATTGTCGAAATTTCTAAAAATCTCTTATTCGTCTTTTTTTCTCACATCTCTTTTACAGTCGAGTTGGTTTTCCGAATGTTCAATTATACGCTGGGTCGCGAGCTTTTCCAAAGGAGCGTGAGGAAGTTCTTCCATCAGACGAAAGAGTAGTAATTGCCTTCGTCAAGCGAGCCGGGAAGCAGATTTTAGAAAAGTTGAAACTTCTCAGCATGTGGACGTAGTAAATCGTCTCTGTCATTCGAGTCAACGGTAGACGGAATTTCCCCAATCCCCAAATAAACTTGACAAGCAGATGAAAAAGCGCGAAAAGAGAGATCAAATTATTCGTCCACGCCGTAGATGCACACACACACTTACTGCTTCCCGACTGCATTTATCGAAAATCGATCGTAGACCTCCGTCCAACTTGAAACCGTGCCTTTCGTGCCTCTCAGGGACCGCAGGACCTTCTTCACCGAAGACATCTTCACTCGTCTGAACGACGTGGCGAATGAGACGAACAATCTGCCGGCCGGTCTGACCATCAACGGCATCGCCAATCCGTGGATCAACCGGGACAGAGTGCCGTTGGTGACGGTCATACGCGATTACGAAACTGGAAAAATTAATCTCAGCCAGGTAAGCGCTGGACAGCGCTGGGAGCGTTGTTTCCAATGCAAGGACACCAACGCGCGAAGGCAGCTATGATTTTCGCATGGATAACGGATAGCGGATAGACGAGCACGCGCGTGTGCTATTTACTCGCGGTCAAGGTATGCCTCGCCAACGGAAGTCGTTGCATTTACTGTAACGAGAAGAATTCGCAGGCTGAAAAACGGGATCGAGATACAATATAATGTTAATCTTCAAGTATCGGGCCATCGAGTGAAACTAATTAATCGAAAGACTGCATAAACATGCATGGTACTCGGTCAGACCTTATTTATTTCTTTTGCCTCTTAAAGATTTCGATCATTCGAAGGTGTTACTGCAGCAATCGCACTTGAACAACGACTGTAATCAGATCAGATAGGAAAATCTGGAAACACGAAGAAACGCGACATACCGACACTTTAAGCTTTGGCTTAACTCAGGCGATCGTTTTGCTGCTACAGCTGCCGTACAACGAAACGGGAGACGTGCGTGCAGGAATAAAACAACGATACGATAATAACGATCAACAATACGGTGAAATTGTTATTGCGTAATATAATCATGGACATGGTCGTCGTGTTAATTGCGAAACGCACAGTTACGCCCGGAACGAGCGTGTTGCGCGTCGCGAACGAACGAACGTAACCATTGATAAGTTCGGTCGTGAGGAGGCATTTGCATACGCCTCAGTTGATTATACTAACAAGCGCTCGTCTCGCGCGCGCGCACGCACGCGCTACAACACAGTCGCGTCGTTCCGAAGAAACAATCAAGGACTAATGCCTTTAGCACAAAACACGCATTGCGCAATACTTGCGAGCCTCGTTCCTATAAGAACACATAATCGGCTACGAGGAGTCGCGAATATTCTCCGCACGCTCTATTCACGCGCGAGGCTCATTAAGCGCAAGTGCGACTCAAAGTTTATTAAATGATTTAAGTGATCGAATCAGGCATTTTAAATTCGTAGACACTCGGCTCTACTTGCGACCGCCTTGTTAGAGATCGTTAGGTCGTCATAGGACAATCAACACCTCGCGTGCAATTGCAATCCGTGCATATTATCTCTTCTTGCGATCTCGTCTTATGACCGATGTATTCATTCATTAATGTGAATTCCCTATAATCTTCGCCCGTTATAGTTTCGGCGACAACAATCGATCGGGAGCGCGAGAAGATCGAGAGAAAATTGAAAAGAAAAGAAATAAATATTTTGTTCTTATTATTCGCCTTCTCCTCACCAGAAAGTTTACTTGAGAGATACACCACCGCAATCGACGGCCAAGATATCCTACCAGTGGGACATTCCGATCGTGATGCAGGCTGAGGATAAGTTGAACTTCTCCAACACGAAGCCGAGTGTGTGGCTGACGAAGGAGAACGAGCCGAAGAATTTAACCATCCCAGACATCACCGACGAGGACAATTTTATCATCGTCAATCCCGAGGAGATAGGTACGTGAAGTGAAGTACTCTCGCACTCTCGCATAAAAATGCGACGAACAAATTAAGACGAGTGTGAAAGTGTGAGAGACCGGTACGGGTGCGTGAATTTAACGAAAACCACGCATCACTCCCGATCGAATTCGGTTCCCCTCTCCGTAGGAATGTTCCCGGTGAACTACGACTCCTGCAACTGGAAGATGCTCTCGCAGTATCTGCAGGGTCCGGATCGCGAAAAGATACCGCCATTGACGAGAGCGAAACTCCTGCACGACTCGTGGAACTTGGCTTACGCCGGCGAGCTGTGCTTCGGTATCGCCATGAACATGACTCTCTTCCTCAGGGAGGAGAAGAATCACGTAGTCTGGGAGCCGGTGTTCACGATGATCGATCACATCGGCCGCCGAATCGAAGGCTTGGACGTGTATTTGAAATTCGAGGCAAGTGGACAGACGTTGCTCGACGACGACGACGACGACGGACCGATCGATCAGACCGGCGCCGACGTTGACGTCGATTTAAATATCGGCGTTAAATACAGGGAAGCTGATGGAGTGGATGTTGTAATTAATAAAACGAACGTCAGCGTTCGCGAACATGATCGGCGCGCTCGATTTCGACGTTGAATGGCCCAATTTACGCGGCAGGTGCAATCAATATTAAATATTGATCACGCGCCCTGAATTACGTGGCGTCATATTTCATATACGCGCGCGCCTGATGCATAATTGAGTTAAACTTGATGAACATCGATTGGCGTAACGAAGAACCGCGAAGGATCGCATTAACATTAACCTTAACATTAACCTTAACACGTTTAAAAAGGTTCTTTTGCATGTTCATTGTTCACTCGAAAGAAAAAAGTCCCCCGTTATGTCTCTTACAAGTTTCCCGTTTGATATGTGTGACATTTTTCAAGTTCTGTCTGCTCATCGAGGTGCTCCGACGTTCTAACGACGCAAAATAAATAAATAATCGCACGTCATGAATGTGATCAGGCTTACATTCGAAGCTTATTGAAGCCACTCTACCTGGAGCTGGGCGACAATGCGCAACCCAACGATCCCTCCTGGAAAATTCACATGCGCGGTCTCATCAGGAACTTCCTCTGTCGAGCCGGATACGAGCCCTGCGTTAAAGAAGCTCGGGATCAGTTTAAAAAATGGTTGACCGACGAGGAACCGGACAAGGGAAATCCGTTAGTAAACAGACCTTATACAGACGAAATAGGAAAGAAAACTCGGCGAAAGCTTAATTCATTCCTGAATAATATTGAATAATATTGATTTTTAATCAACATTTCCCGCGAGTATAATAAGTATAATGAGAATGCGACTAAATGAGAGAAACGACGCGTTTGATCGACGCGAGAGAAAAGTCGCGAGAAAAGAATTCTGCTCCGCAGGGTCGCCAATAAATTCCTCTGCCCGGTGTTCAAGTGGGGCACCGACGATGAATGGGAATTCGGATTGCAGCGCGTTATAAATTTCCCGCAGAACAACTTAGCAAGGAAGCAGAACGAACGCACCTATCTCCTCAAGACATTGGCCGGCTGTCCGAAGGACGCGAACAAGATCGAGAGGTTGGTATAATTCGCGCGATATTTCGCCGCTGTTTTTTCTTCTTCTTCACAAAGAGCACTCGCCGAATGGTGATACTCGTTCGTACGGAGTTTCTCCCGTTCCAAGCAAACTCTTGCACGCGGGGCCCGTCGTCGTGTTTCCGATGAGCCAGAACTTGCGCTTCGGAGCTTTAGAGCGGAGCGCGGTCATCTGAAAGTTTAATGGCCCGGACGTCATTTGAATGACGTCCGAGAAACCAGACGACAAGGGACCGTTTGAATTAACGCGAGTCAAATTTAACCGTCCATAAATATTCCTCGCAAAAGTCAGACAGATATCTAAGAAAACACGGCAGTATTTTGCTTAAAGCTCTTGCTGAAAGCTCGCGAGCGAGAGCTTGGCCGCTTTCGTTTTATTCCCCTTTCGTTCGTCTTCATTAGACTGTTGCAAGTGGCTGTGCTGGATCAGAACGAGAATTTCACGGACGCGGACATCCACCTGATCTTCAGCATGCTGACCGGCGGCGCGACCGGCTACAGAACTCTCTTCAACTTCTTGCATCAGCACTGGTACACTGTGAAGGAACGATTCGAGAACAAAACCTATCTGTGGAACGGTATTGTCAACTTTGCCACATCGTCCTTCAACACACAAGAGGGCTACGACATGGTGAGCAAGCTCTACATGGACCATCAGGACGAGTTTGAATCGGCGGACGCCATCGTCAAGAAGGCGCTCAGTATCATCAAGCAGGAAACCAAATGGAACGAAGAGAACGTGCCGGTGATTGACAGCTGGCTCAAGGACCATCTGTCCAAGGAGGATTTGGACGCGATCGCAACCTCAATGTCCACCACCGTCCTCTCCACGACCACCGTAGCCACCACGACGAATTAGGCAGTCGAACGGCGGTATACGGCAGGGGACGATGACATTAGACGCGGGCTCTGTCAAGTGGATATCGACAAACTCAAACTTATACATTTATTACGTCGATATTTCAGCCACAACGAATGAACAGTCTGTTTCATTTGGAGGAATACTTGTTTAATCGCTTTTTCGTCGTTTCTTCTCTTTCTTAAGGCAGTTATAACGATTTCTTATAATTTCTTTGCGAAATACACAATAATGTCGTAAAAATTCTTTTTTTTTATTTTTATTACGTGTAGTTAGTAGTTGGTATCGCGTAAGTAAAATCCCGGGAAAAATAACAGCTTAGATATGTATACGGGTGACGGAAAACTCATGTTTCCGAGTAAAGACTGGCACGCATGCGACGTTATAATTAGGAAAAATGTAACAATCCCGATAGATGTAGACTAAACTTAAAAGCACCGAAAGTTTGGAAGTATATTGTATTGTATAGTTAAATTTTTATTTTTGTAAGGCGAATGAAAACCGCGTAGTAATCGCTCGTAATATATTTATTTTGTCCGATGGACAAATGAGGATTGAGCGTTTCTCCCGGAAGAAAATTACGTGGAAAAGTAGTGCTCACAATTATGAAACAATTTAGCTAGCGGATTTAGTATAACGTTATGTCGATAATTAAAAATATAATGTGATGTTAGACTTTCACATGTTGTATCTTACATCAATGAGACGCTATTAAAAATCCGTCGTCGGTCTTAAACAGAAGATTTTGTAATTGTCACTGCCCTCTAATGAGTCGTATTATTTGATAATAACAATTCGACCGATCACGAGATACAAGACCATCTGACCTGCCCTTAAAACTACACTACTTAAAAAAAATAAAAAGAATTCAAATCATACTATTAAAAAGACAAAAAAATAGAAAATTGTCTTACGTCAGCCGCTTTTAATCATATAGCTTGAAGACAAAACAATCTTCAATCTTATCATTAAGTTCCACAGCAGTATATCACAGCCTCCACTCCTCGGTATGGTGGCGGCTTGCAGCGGAAAATTTGGAACCAACAGTCGTAATTAATCCCACCGACGAGACCGTTAAAAAAGACCGTTGATCTTACGGGACTTAAAGCAGAGAGTAACCTGAGAGCGGCCAATACGACATTTTCTGCGACACCGACTTTCCGCACTGGGAAAGGACGCCATCTGCATCCATTTTGAGAGGGGAACTACGATAGTACATCCACTTTCAGGTCTCGGTGGTAAAATCTGCACATGGTGGAAGTCCATGCTACATCCACTTTCAGGCGGTTTATGTCCGTGCTGCAATGACAGTTCTCTGGCCATCTCTATGCCAGACTATGCCCGGTGGTCTAAAAAGAGCGGGGGAGAGGGAAGGAGAAGCAGAAAAAATAAAAGTACGTATTAAATGTTAAATATTCGAATACATGTTGCCGTATCAAAGTCTCCATCTATAATAAACGATTTGACACGTCTGGAAACGCATGATGTATCGTTGCCCGCATCCCATTCCCTTCGTCCTGCTTCCCTGTATAAAATGTCGAATTGAAACGTATTAAAAAGTATCGACATTTTGAATATGTCTGAATTCTAAATCTTTTTGATCCGAAGAAAAGGATTGAAAAGTGTTGGTTCCCATTAAATTTTACTGCGCTAATTGCGAGACGGTCTCTTTCGCCCGGGTGCCTCAGCAGGGTAATTTCTCTGGTACGCTAAATCGCGTAAGACCATCAGTCTTTGTAGTATATCTCGTCGGTGCATAAGGTTTATATTACCTGTACATACATATTTTGAAACATTTTCTTTGGATATTATATCAAACGGATTTTGCGTGTCACGTAATATCCTTCGGACTACACGGACATTATTATTTTGATCATTTTGATTTCTTTGGTATTCATTGAATTATCCAGAACGCGCAACTGCCATGTTGAACGACTCAATTGTCGTGTGAAATGTTTCGATTTTCACAAATTCATATAAAATTTTTCATTTTTCACTGATTCACAGAAGTCTTTCACTTTTTATTAGTTCACGCTGGGGAAAAGATTCATCATGATCGCTGCCCCGAGCAGCTGCAACGCTTTTCGAATCATTTATGTCGGTGCGCTTTTACTCCTGTCATTAATAACTCGATAATTATTGCGAATCTCGCAAAATGGTATGGAACTTTTATGTTTGTCTCAACCCAATCTACCCCCCAATCTACCCTCACACTTCGGGTTGGCAGCTAATTACCGGACACTTCGTATGATCTTCATGATATTAATCATACACAATGTCAATTCTTTTTTTTTGCACATGTTAACATGTTAATTCATGTTATAAACGCGTAACAATGTGCGAGACTGTGCTTGTCAAATATGCTATTATGGTTGTAGCACGGACATAAACCGCCTAAAAATGGATGTAGCACGGACTGCCACCACATACAGGTTTTACCGCCGAAACCTGAAAGTGGATGTAGCATCGTAGTTCCCCTCTTAAAATGGATACAGACGGCGCCCTTCCCCAGTGCGGAAAGTCGGTGTCGTCGAAAACACCGTGTTGGTCGCTCTCGACGTTCCTCTCTGCTGGTAACATACATGGAGTAATGGGAAAAAGATATCGGAAAGTATCAACATCGAGGTGATGCAAAAGATTGTCAGCATTTTCGTAAATGTCTGTAGCATAAATTTTCGTATTTGCAAAGGGGCCTCGGCTTGGAAGTAATTCAAGAGTCATGACAATATCGACCGAAGATAACACGACGAACATTTGTCTATTAGATTTTCGTCTATTCGTTAACAACGCCTTATCAGTGCCATGTGTTAAATATATAGCGATGAAAATCGCAACAATCGAAAGTAAACATTACCGTCTAGCAAAAAATTTCTTGCTGCATTGCTAACAATAAATTACATAAAAAAAATATGATTTTATTATGAAATATTTCATATATAATAACATTAACGTGATTTGAAAATATATTAATATATTTACTGGCTCACGCGTGACATTTGTCAACATACATAATACAAAGATTACAATTGTCACTTAAATATTATACACAGAATATATCATTTTTTTCGCAAAGAACAAACGGATCGATAGGATCCTAAAACGTGGATCTCAGCTTATTGTTATTTGTTAAATATTGTTAGATATCAATTATATCTTTTCTATCTACTGTATACTAAGATCCGCATCCGCGAATTTTCATCGGCCAGTTTTCCTCTTTTGTCCGAAAATGTAATAGTCTTTAACTTCCTCGTGTGTAACATTTTTTTCTTTTTTATCATTAAGACACATCATCGAAGTCTTCGACGTTGAAATTCAGACGACAAATAATCACAAGCTTGTCTATATTGATTAATTTGATGTAATATGTAACGTAATAGACATCGATAATATTCACTTTTTTTTTTATATTTATGATCTCTCTAATAGTATACAGTAATCTATATAATAAGGATAAGAATTCTCTTTTTGCCTTTCAATTATGTCAGATAAATTAGTTGAACAAACTTATCTTTGGAACTATATGTGCAATGTTTCTCCCATATACATACAACATACGGATGACTTTTCAATGTAACGATAGTAGCAAAATTGCGAGATTACAAATGTAAAATTATTATAGAGTGATTACAAAAGTGTTATTCGTTTATCAAACACAAAAGGTCAACTGCACATCGTGAAATTCACCCAGATTTTTTGATTACTTGATACTAATCATGCTAGATGAAATAGAAACTAATCACTCGAGCAGACACAGTTATCGATCGTCCAATCGACAATATTTAAATTATCTTATCATATTGCATCGGCACAATTGCAATCGCATTCTTTTCACACGTAAAAAGGGTACACATACATTCGGAATGTGTTTAAGGCGACATTTGACATTGTTCGATACTCGAATTTTCTTTTATCTTACGTAAATTCCATCACATTCCGTATCTTCTCGCAAGAAGATCACTCTCGTGTGTAAACGCAATTACTTAGGACCGTTTCTCGCAGTAGACGAATTTCACGGGCGCGTAACATCCATATAAAAAATTCCACTTAGTTTGGAGGAATCGGCAGTTTGTTATTTGCCCCTCAATACATCGGGAATTGAAAAGAAGACAAGGCTCCCGCTTAGAAGCTAAAAGCGAGAAGTTACACGATCTTCCTTCTCTTCACATTATACATCGAAACAAAGTTCTTCTCGCATGCCATCGCTCCTTTCTGATCTTATAATTCAATATAACTTGCAATGAGGAGACTCCGAAAACCTTAATACGCTCGATTAAGCGACGTATGCTATATTACGTCTCTCTCTCGTTCGTTAAACTCTTCTATCTTTCTTACGATCTTTCGGCCTTCCCGTGAATCATAAATAACATTTCGGTTTAGATTACAAAGCCACATTTATCGTAAAATATTGAAGCGTCCGAGCGCCTGTAAAGCGCAAAGAAACGAATTAACGTTCTAAGGGGCTAAACTACAGCAAGAATTAGTTTTCCGCGCGGTTTTGTAAAACGCCTTCGACTGAATGCTGAGTCCCTCCGACTTGGCGACCAGATCGTCCAACTTTTCGCCCCTCTGGAGCGCCGCCTCTAACGTATTGTGCTGGTAAAATGTATCACAGAATTCTAAATATTCGTACAGACATCATCTGATAAAGTTAACATACTTCGGAAATTAAACGAATCGCCCGTTATTAGAAAAAGAAAAGTAAATCGGCTCTTACCAAAATAATTTTTGTCTCATCCAGATCATTCTGCATCTTGGTGAGTGCATCCGCCTCAATCGGATTCTGATACTTGGCTAGGTACGTATTAATCTGCCGAAAATCAGATGTGACCTCCCTCAGTGTGGACCACGTCGATGGCAGGTGTTTCGTTGCAAAGTCATCCATTACTTTTGAAAGCAATGTATGAGCAACTCTCCTGGGATATTCATGATCCGAGATAAGTACTGCAGCTAAATTATCGGCACGTACGTACACATGACACATGTATTCTACAAAAAAAATCAATGCGTAAGTAGAAACAAGTAGAAACATGTTATCAAAAAAATTGGGTTGTCTGTAATATCAAAAAACTTGGAACCAAAGATATTGTTGTAACAATTACCTCCTTCCTTGACACTTTGCCTGGCGCTTGTCTGTGTTCTTTCTACAATAGTCTTACTGACAAAGCCCATGAATTCCTTAATACTGTTCTTCTGAAAGAATGGAAATGATTCTACATCATAAGCAGCTGCCAGTTGTGTCACTGATGTAGGATTCTTGTATAAAATTGTTAGTGCATATAGTTTCACCATTTTAATCTGAAAAATAGAAACAAATGCAGCATTAAAATTTGTCTGACAACCGACTTTCATATATCTTGTCAATGAATTGTTGTAAACAATGAATTAATAATATTAAAATAGGCAATTGACTTTATAGGATATTAACACATATTTTTTTTTATCATTTTATTGCATTTTAAGGTAATCTGCAGCTCTTGATTCAAATTTTCTTTATAAATTACCAGACAGCTAAATTTAATCCGAAAGAATGAAGAACCGTTTATAGATTTCATATCACTATGCAATTTGCATCAGGCAAGCGATTCATCATTCGACTTTTAAGTATAGAATGTTGTAAAATTTGTAAAATTTATGGAACTAATAGTATTTGATTCAAAGACAAGTAAAAGTTCTCGCTGTCGCCTGTAAATTATAATAATAATAACAAATTTATCTTTATCTCGTATGTGTAGCAAATAGGAAAATCTTTTACAGGTAGTAATAGTGCTTAAAATATTGTCAAACGTATCAAACCTTGTCCCCGTATTTATATCTTTACAATTTGTGAAGTCTTTAGTGATAGAAACAAATTCTGTCGTGTTCGTGCAATTTCTCTATGTCTTCTCTTAGAAGCTATCCTCGCCTTCTTCTGATAACACAGATAATTCACTGATAAATCATTCTATCTTCTCCACAGACTTCACGCTGTCTCCTAGACTGCTGTATATATCGGGATCATATGGCTAAATGTGACACACCAATGAATTTGCATCGTCTGATGACGGGTATGTTTGGTTGGAGAACTGATGAGAAGTTTGTCAGTCACAGGTTTTCGCATCTGTTTTCTCTAGTTGATATTTAATTCTATTGGATAAGAAAACCCAATAAGGAAACATGTGTATAACATGCCTGATATTGGCCATACTGGGACATAAATGGGTTCTACGCAATGTCGTCCGCGGATAACTTCGCTAATATGTAGAATGAAAACAAAAGTGTCAAATAATTGTCAAATATTTATGTACATGAGCACTATCGAGATTGAGATAATATAAAATGGCCGAGAATGGATTTGCATCTGACAGTAACGCCGAAGAATCCCTCGTTACAGAAGCTATTAATTTAGATATTGAGGAGGTACTCATATTATAATAGTGGTTATCTGTATGATATAAATTATCTCATGCTATAAAACTATAATTATAATCTTAGTAAATGAATCGAGCAATTACTATCCTTTGCATTATTGTCTCTCGTCACGTCACTAATTGTTATAGTTTTCGTTATTTCATTGTAATATCAGTATGACTTAAAATTATTGCAAGCCTAATGGTCACACGTAATTATCATTTATTCTAGTTAGATAATACAGAGTATGCTATACCAATAGTGGAGGAATTACCCACTTTAGAAAGTATATTGATGGAACCTGATTACGAGTCATTATCAGAAACAGATGATGATATTGGCATACCAGTGGGAGAAAGACTCGGTAGTAGTGAAACGACAAGCATTGGCAGTCATCTGTCTCTGAATTCATTGAATAAATCCTCCAGAGGCACGCAAAAGACATTTTCAGGTGTTATTTTAAGGCATGTTATATTAAAAGGAATATCATCACAAATTGTATCGGCTAATGTAAGTAATTGTTCCATCTCTATTATACAGAATATATTATATATAAATTTTTCAGAGGAAGGTATGTATTATAAATTTCAAAGTATTTATATATATATATTTAATACTTAAATGTATCTCATGAAACAAAACCAAGATGATATGATTTAAAATATAGGAAAGAGTCAATGCTGGCTTAGCCAGTGCGGTTGCAGCTAGTGGAAATATGTTAGTAATTGGTACTAGCCATGGTTTAATACTTGGGTTTGATTCATCACAAACATTGAGATGGTGTGATCAAGAAGCAAGACATCAAGGTTCTGTTTCTGCTCTTTGTTTCAATCATGAAGGCAGCAGAGTACTGGCTGGTTTTGTCAGAGGACAAATTCTGATGTTAGATAGCAGTAATGGGAAGGTTTTAAGAGTTCTCACTGATGTACATCCATTTGATACTGCTGTGTTACATGTTAAGGTATATTCTGTTGTTAGTTTTTCAATATGAGGATATGCAACAATATGTGCACCTTATTACATTATATTTGAAACTTAGTTATTCAATTTACAGTTTCAAATCAGCCGTTTTAGTTTACAGATTCGCCAAAAATAGCTTTATGCAGTGATAGCGGTGGATCAGTGTTTGAATTAAATTTCACTAGGGTCATGGGTGTAAGAGGTTGCGAAAGTAGATGTTTGTTTAGTGGCTCTAAAGGTGAAGTGTGCACGCTGGAACCTTTATTGTTGAATCATCTACCGTCGCATCCGTTGAAAAATTACACATTGGTAGCAATGGCAACATTATCGAAGGTTGTTCGTCACAATAAATTCGAGTGCTAATATCGAATATGTGTGTTATTTAGCTGGTCTTGTTTTGTAGGTAATTGTAGTTTGCATAAGACCGCGAATGCGAGTAGTACTGAGTCATCCGTTATGCGGTGCTGCAACAGCACCTCCACAACTATCTTGGCAGCTAGTTGTGATACAAACAGCGGATGGATCTCGCGTAATCGATCCTGTATTGGCGCTTGCAAGAGACAACGTGGTGCATTTTTACCAAGTACTTGTCTGATTTAATGATATTATTTGGTCGCTTTATTAAGATGAAATTAAGAAAACAAAATGTTTCTCAATAAGGTGTACACCGAGGTAGGCTCGCGTGTCAAGTTATCTCCTCTTCGACGGATGACATTACCGTATACGATAAGTAATTTGAGATGGTTAAATCCAAGATCTCTCATAGTGCTGGACACGCAAGAGAAGCTGCATTTGTTAGATGTAAGAGCGCAGGATAATCTGGAAACGTTGGATATGAGCCGCGTCGGTATTTCTTATGCCTCTAGTCATTTTAAAGGACTATCCACTGGTGGGAATGTTTCTAAGGTAACTTGAGAGATAATATGAGAGAAGAACAAGCAAAATATTCCTCATTGTTTCACACACTTACAGCGTATCATGTGCAAATTATATTATATATATATATACACACATACACACACAACACCTTTTTATACAGGCAATGGCATTAGCTGGCGAACGAGCATGCTACAATACCATGGTAGTATTTGGCACACAGCTATTATTATTAGGTACCAAAAGTTTGCACGCGATTTGCATAAGAACATGGACCGAAAGGATACAGCATTTGATCATGCAGGTCGGTTTAAAGTAATGGCAAGCATTTTAAATTTAGAATAAACTGTTCTGTTTGCCCTTTAGAAGCGTTACCCTGAAGCGTTAGCGTTGGGCCTCTCGTTTTATCAAGACAAAGGCAAGGCGGTGATTGGTCTTCGAGGTTCTAAGCAACGTCGCAAACAAATTGCGCGCGATAAAGTCTGTCAAGTTCTGATTCAATATATGGATGAATTAAATCAGTGTTTAATGGACGAAAATATGGACTACGACATGATAGTGCTCACCTGCGTCGACTACTGTATTCAACTGGAAAACTTGGATTTGTTGTTTGGAAAATTGTGGGACATTGTGTTCGAGTCAGAAGGGTTAAAGACAAGTTACTTGCACGCCCTCGAAGCCCCTCTGTTAGACGGAAGCCTACAGTCTAGATTACCACCGTTGATCGCTCAACAATTAGTTAGCCTGTACGATCAGGAGAACAAAGTAGACTCGTTGGAAGCGATCGTAGTTCTGCTTAACGTAGATTGCTTAGACATTCATCAGGCGAGTAAAACGTTACGTTTACTTGAAGCTAATACATGTATTCCATGTATTCCAATGTGAGCAAATGAACGAAGTTTTAAAGTCGATAATGTGTGCATATTCGTTTATAGGTAACTACAATCTGTCGTCAACGAGGGCTCTGGGAAGCACTAATTCATCTTCAGACAACGGCGCTTGGCGACTTTACCGCGCCGATTCATCAGTTGGTGCCGGTACTTCAGAACTTGCTGTATGACGCAACAACCGCTCTTTCCCGAGATAGCATAAAACTTGGGAACGCCATTTTGGTTTATACCAGTTGTTGCCTCGCTGGCCGCGGATTCCCCAAAGACGAGCTTCCCGAGGGTATGCCGCAGAAAGCGAAAGCGGACATACTGAGAGCTTTGCTCTCTCAACATTCCAGTTTAGCAAACGACACAGAGAGACAGTACCCATACCTGAGGACGCTGCTGCAATTTGACGCGAAGGGCTTTCTCGATGTGATAGCCATTGCCTTTCAGGAGCCAGAATTTACTTCCGAGATGGGTCTCCGACACAGGCAGAGGCTCATAGATATCTTGTTGAGTATCGTTATGCCGAATACGCCGCTTAGCCCGAAAAGCACTGATTACATCACGCTGGAGCAACAGTTTATGGTTCTTATGTTTGTGGCGAACGAAGCGTCCGAGAGTACCGTCACGTTGGAGTCTAATATATTGAATAAAATGATAGATATATTGTGCATCGACATGCACGTAGAAATGTTGAAGGATTTTAAGACCGAGAGAGAAAATGCTGTACTGGGATTACTGCATTCTAAGAAACTGTGCAATATCTCCGACAACACTTTGCTGAATTTAGCGAATAGAGCGGGTTTGTAAGTATGCTTATTTATTTCATGACACTCTTCATAGCCGATCACGTCTCATATTATCGCATTACACATCATCACTTCGATTACTTCGTGTTGCAGTATAAGAGTCGCGGAGTTACTGTACAGCGCGAGAGAAGACTGGGTAGCAGTGTGTAAATGTATGATTTTAGAATCGTCCAGGCATCACGATATATGGCCCTGGCTCGAACATCTGCCGGCCGCGTCGTTGGATCAAGTTGTGTCGGCTCACGCCCCGACTCTCGTGACGATCAATGCGAATCAGTTCGCCACGACCGTCGCGACTCGATTGCAGAGCAAGATCAATGCGATACTGCAAAATCTCGGCAATAATTTAAGTCTGGAGTACAATTTGCTAGGAGCGTTGTATCAAATCGCGCAGTACAAAGAAGAGGATGTCTCTTTGGAATTGTCAACCGAACACTTGGAGAGATACCTGGCATTGATGTGCGAGTTGAAGCCGGAACACGTGGTGGCTCACATACATGGGCCGCACGGTTGTAGATTGGACGAAGCGTTGAAGATCGTTCAAAAGTGGAACTGCAAAGACGCGGAGGCGGTGATGTTGGAGAAGCTGGGCAACTACCAAGACGCATTTAATCTCTTGCTGAAGGAATTTGAGAATCACCTGGAGCTCTATCGACATAATAAGGCTTCGGAGAGCGAAGCTGTGCGTGCCGCCGCGCAGCTCGCGGGCATATGCCGAAGATCAGCGGGAAATTTGGACTGGATGCCACTCGTGGAAGCGGTATTTCGTTCGCATTCCGAGAACAATAAACAACAGGCGGACAAACTAAGCGGAAAGCTGTTGAGATTAATCCTAGAGTCGTTGAGCGGCACTTCGATTCTATCGAATATATTGGAGCAGATTCTGAGGAATCCATTAGCAACGAGCGGGACAATGGGTGATATACGACAGCTGTTATCCGGAGTTCTCACTCAGTCGCGATACGAGCAGACCCTGGTCGAAACCACCGCACGATTAGTGAGCTTGGAGTTGCACAAGGCTCTAGAGAAGTCCCTGAGGTACTATATAAATATGGGAATTTATAAGAATGTACTTGTACGTACTCACGCGAGAGAGAGAGAGAGAGAGAGTACCTTCTCTTTATTTATAGACAATATCATATCATTTCATTGTCTAGGGACGCTGGCAGAGCATGTGGAAACGTTTCCGTAACGTGCCCGATATGTAGACAAGCATTATCGAATTGTTCCGATTACGTAGTAGTGTTCGGCTGCGGTCATGGATATCACTCGACGTGTCTGGGTGAACCCAAGTCGTGTTACAAATGTCTGAATACAAAAGGTTGGGCACCTGTCGCTACCGATATCACACACGCCGTTCAACCTCCGCCGGTTAGTTATAACAGCTGTACTTCTTCTCTTCTGCATCCCAATTGTATATCGGAGAATTCTTCCTTTCTTTCTTTCTTTCTTTCTTTCTTCCTTCCTTCCTTCCTTCCTTTCTCTCATGCCCCTTATACCTGTGTAGAGAATGTTCATGTGTCATTTCATTAATTTTCATTCTCCTTTCAGAGAAAGAAAGTTCTTCTTCCGCCAGAATTTCTACGTCACCAAGACCTCACGCTAAGATTGGCGCCGCTCTGTCCCACTCCTGATCTTGAGGGCATCTTTTAATCTAGTCTTTGAATATCGAATATCGAAATTGACGATTACGTTTGCGAAACGGTACGTAAAATGTTCTAAAGAGGATATACCGAAATAAATGTATAATACTATTATACGAGCTACTACGTCGGATCTTGGCACTATGATCGTTTTGTCTGCGATATTGTATAGTACTAAGAGATATATATTAAGCTCTTCTCCATTCCTTGAGATTTTATTTGTTCGACGTTCGCTAATGTTTAGGACACGTCGCCAAATACACGAGTTAATTACGAGTTAATTACGAGAGATACAAATATAAATATTTATTATATTGTTTACGAGATCGTTATTCTTCCAACTGAACTGAAGGTCGGTAACGACCTTCATACAGGACACAAAATCGATCCATCGATGGTGTTTTTACGTCACTGTTTCAACGACAGATATCGACGGAACATCTATTCTGCGTTTGATTTTAACGATGAAAACCGGTTTCTTGGGTGCGTTATCCGCTAGCACGTGATATGGATTCATAGGTTCGTCATCTAATAATTCACCAGTGAGAAGTTTCGCAACGATTGTGAAAACATCCAATTCTGTACATTCGGCTCTATTCATTAGCGGCACTTCGATGGTAGAAGCATATTCGTTTACAGTCGCTTCTAGCTTAACGAGGAACGGAATCAACTTGGACATGGCTAAATAATGTTGTAACTGCAAATCGAGAAGATTGATTATATAATTTGACTTGTTGAGAAGATTCTTTTTATCGACGGGCGTTTCTATCTTGCGCGAATCGTCCTTACAATGTGCGACTTTGAAAGCAGTATTTACGTAGATACGTGCCTTATGATCGCATCGTTTTAGATTGCTCAATAAATCTTCGATTTCATCGAGTAGAGCGCAACACTCGGTATATTCACGACTGGTATATGCATCCTCACGAGTATCTAACAATTCTTTCGTCCGAGAACTTTCTTTCTTTATCTTTTCAATGAGCAACGATAACGGTACTCCTGATAATGTGTGACTAGCCATTCGAATCTTGGAACATTTCTCACACACCTATATAATTAATATATCAATGTAAATACCTATATGTAACAATCAATTAGAAAATTCCTTATTATATATATATATATATATATAGCAGAGACGATATAAAAGACCGTTATTGCCAAAAGTAAAATATAGAGAAGCTTTACCTGCTTATTAACAGAGATCCACAGATTGACAATCCCGTTTACAAACTGCTTAAGATCATTGTTCACGAAACTGTAATTCTCAGACAAATACAGCAATGACTGAAGTTTATCCGTCAGACTACTCGACACTTTACCAAACCATTCGAGTTTATCGCGGAATTTAAGATCGATGTCCGAACTACAACTTTCCGCCTTGAGTGTGCTCACCTGTGTAAAATACGCCAAAGAGTGACATATCATTTGAACGATAATTAATTAATGGATAATAAGGTGTGGGATTTCAATGTTTATACAACATCAACTTACGTTTTTCTCGAGAATTTGCACGAGTTTACGGATCGGAGTAACGTTCATCGCCATAACACTACTTTTGTAAGAGTTACTATATAGTTACTATTATGTTTTCTTTTGTCATATTGACCGTTAAACAAAAGGCATTTCCATGGCCAACTCGTATTATTATCCAGTTTGTGGTAGTCTCCTTTTTTTTTTTTTCCAAGGAATAGATACATTCAGTTGTTTCTTTATTGATGTTATGGCGCATATAATATAAACGACATTATTGTTTTCTTGAAACATGTACATATTCTGGCATCAGCTTGCTTGTGTAGTATAGATCATTCTATAATACCGCATATTTAATTTCATTAATATATTGAATGCTATGTTTCATTGATGTATCGTTTGTTGTGTTCGGCTATAACGTCTTATTCGGATAATGATGTAATGAGGTATCGTAGGATTTGTGATAATTGAGAATTGACTCTCCCACATGTCGCTTAAAAAATTAACTTATGGCTTTTGTGATTTTAACTGTTAATAGTAATTTCTTAATGTTAAAAGCCCTATGTTCTTATTATCATAAGTAATATACAATATTATATATATATATTTTTTTTTATATTACTATTAATATTAATTATTATAATTAAATGGTTATTTATATCATTATAGACAACTTATCTCAATCGCAGTAGAAACATCTAAAAATCATGTTTAAACTTGCATTTATCGACAGGGACGTACTATCGATTATAATTTATATAGTGAAAGAAAGTAGCGTAAACGCCATCGAACATATCGGTTGCTATGCTCTCGCACCTCATCTTGAAATGCATAACAAATTACATTTTCCTAAAAATCAACTGCCGTAGCTAGTCACTGCGTAGAATAATTATCGTCCGTAATGTCATTTCCAATCGGGGGAAGAGAGTACCTTTGCCGAGAAAAGGGTGGGACGGATTATGAGCATCCTAAGTATCTCTCAAAGCTGTATAATACTGAAAACTGTAATAAACTTTCGCTCGCTATGAGACTTAAATTTCACGGACCCATAAATTTAATACGAAAACGCTTTATTAATCTTCTTTTTGACATTGCAACAAAAATTGTTCATTAGCATGTTATTGATAGAACTTTCTTATACTACTTTGTCACTGTTTATAAGAGGAATAATGTATAATAAGAAATTATGCTGTGTATAAATATATGTACATATGTGTGTGTGTGTGTGTGTGTGTGTGTGTGTGTGTGTGTGTGTGTGTGTGTACATACATGCACACACATATATACATATATATGTGTGTGCATATGCATGTATACCTACCTACGTATATGTGTACACACACGCACACACACACACACACACACATATATACAATGTAATATCATATGTACATCGTACTTTAGATAAGCAATGATATAACAAATAATTTCTAATTCAACGTCTTCAATAAAAGTAATTTGAAATTTAAATCAATATGTCATAAGTAAATTTTTCCATAATTTCAGACGTCTTAAAAATTAATCATGTCGATAATATTCAACGTTTCGAAAAGTGTATTAAATAACATAAAATTATAAGCACGATAATTATCAAGTTATAACTTTATTTTTCGAGGGTCTAGTGAGAGTTTAGTAGCAAATATGTGCCTCTTAAAACTAATTAGTTCCTGTCATATCGTGATCAGAAAAGAATTTCTACGAGATAACTCACGTCGAACACAAACTGGTATAATTTGTAATACTTATATCCCCCACGGGTCATTTTTCTTTTTTACAACGTAGATACCAAACTTATATAACAGAGACAGGACAGTGATAACAATGATTCCGCGAATAATTGCGAATAAATCATTGATATTAATAAACGTGCGTATTAACTATTGAAACCTCATAGGTCCCTTCCCCCCCCCCTGACACAGGTCCTGACTTCCAAACCGTATTGAGAAATGACGTATCTATGCAGCAAGTGAGAACTGATGCAGTCTATACGAATGGATTCATTCGAATCATTGATATAGTCCCTAACATCCTTCCGTTTGGTCTTTCACCCGTTCAGTCTTTCACGCCAGACACGGGAGTGATTGTGATATCTATAATGCTGGGACCTATAGCTATTCCCATGACGCGAACGTCTGTAGGAAGTGTTATAATAATGTCTTCGATGATAATTACTAACGGGTCGATTCCAAGGTTTGCTGTTCTGGTACTCTTGGAATGAATTGTAGCTCATACCAGCTCTATCCTCGTATCGACGGTCCTTGACTTTCTTTACTCGACCTCTGTCCATCTCTTCGTCGTCCGCGTTGAAATGTCGTTTGCGTTCTTCGCGTCTATCGTTATCAGCCTCCCGGTCGAGTTGCGTTCTATTGCCGTTCCAATTGAACACTGCAAACCAAAGAAACACAGGAAACAAGGGTTCAGAACAAGTTTTACTTCTCCAAAATTTAATAAGAGCTCATTTTCACACCACTCGTGGCTTACGTGTAAAGGAAGAAAAGAGAGAAGAAAAGCCGACACACCATCTGGAAATAAGCTGATTCTTGTAATATATATTATTTACCTGAGGAACTGCCGTATCCTCGATACGACATTTTCTGTAAATGGGAAACAGTGTCCGAACGATTGGTGCCATTAAAATCTCGTACTGCTGCAGCACTCGGTGTCGTGGTACTTTGATTTGATTTAAGATCTTCTCTGAATGATACATACAATAGAGAATTTTATTATTCTATTAATCTATAATACTTTAATTGATAGTATAAACTGTTTCTCTATTATCGCGTCATTATGTACAGTGTCATAATAAAATCGCATAGATACACGAGACGAACACGTACTTGTTATCAGTAACCGACCACCCATTGGGCGTCCCAGTGGATGCCGGAGAGGGAGTATCCTTAGAAATTTGCCAACCCTTAATGACGCTACTGGCTTTTGTAGGCACCTTCTCCTCCTCTACATTCTTAGTTTTGACATACTGATGCCACGTATCTTGATCACGTTCCGTTTGGCTATTCGTCTCCGTTCTCCCATTCTGATGCTTCGACAAGCTTATTCGGCTATTATTGTTAGACGCACCTTGCGTTTTCGCGTATTGTACAATCGTAGTCTGCGTCGTGGTCGGTATGCTATTGGAGGAGTTGGTCTTAGCGTTGGCCTTCTGTGTCTCTTTACAATTGACGGCCAGCTTCGACGCGTCTTTCGAAACGGAACATTTTGGCATACCGTTTGTAGTGTTTGTAGAGTCAACTCGGGATACGGTACTCGACGTTTGATTCTTCGTAGTTCCAAAGGGACAAGTGTCCTCTTCCTCGCTGGAACCGTCGTAGGGCACCAAACTGTTCCCATTTAAAACTTTTCCGTTCTTTATGTGCATAACCAATCTCGGCTGTGATTTATCCTGCGTCTTTTGTGACGATTGCGTGCTCGCGGCACTGTCGGTGCACTTCTGCGGTGTAGGAAGATTCAATTCTACGCTTCTTTGCGTCGGCAACTGCGGGCCGATTAATGTGTTATCCGAATTATCATTGCCGCTTGATAAATCGCTCAATGATCCGTTTGCGGAACATCCGGCAGATGTGGATGCTTTCGATACGACAGATTTATTCGTAGAACTAGGTAGCGGAGTCGACACGCTCTTCGCGGATGTCGTGCCATTTACTTTGGCAGTCTGTTGATTCTGGCTAGAGCTATTCATTTCAAAAATCATAATGTATGCGTTTGTACTTAATACGTTATTAAGGCTTATCGGACGAACGCAGGCATCATCGAAGGTATAATATTGACCGCTCGACACTTGCGCGATCGCTGTATAGTGGCCGCAATTCACGGAAGGACCCATGTGTGTCACCACGGACATAAGTTTATACGTGAGCTGCTTAGGAGACTCGCCCGGTTCTCTCCACAAGTATCGGCTCATATCTATAGTCTGTTTAAAACCGATGTGTCTGGATATCTTTCCTCCTCCAACGCTAAATCGCTTCAATTGTACACACAACACTTTCGGCGGGCGTTCTAGTGTAAATTGTTTGGTAGCAGGAACTCTTCTTTTACAGGCTTCGCACTTGTAATCATTGTTATCCAATTGTTCTCTACTGAAGTAACCATTTAGTGCTTCGTCCAATGTATTTGCTTTACGTATATCCACAAGCAAGTCCTGTTAAAATTACTCTGTTCAAAATAATCTTCTTGTGTGTATGGATTTTATCTTTTTTTTTATATGTATATATATATATATATAAATTACATGCTTAGAATCACAGAATTCCACCGTGTAAGTTTCTACTACTTACCTGAAAGTGTTGAAATGTGGTAGATACATGTTGACACTGCAGGCACTTTACTTCAGTACGTATATAACCACCGAATATTTGGTTAATTGGTGTCGTTTCCTTAGAATAGCTATCTAATTTAGTCGCTTTATGCCTAGTCAAATATGCACGTTCCATTCCCTCCAATAAATAACGTAAAAATTCATGAGCATCTTCTTGCTGCCCATGCATCATAGTTCGGCAAATGGCTAAAATTATCATATATACAGTAATATTTTTGCGCGCAATATATGCACGTGTGGTAGAAGATAGTAAAAAGTAAAAAGAAAAAGAGGGGAACACATTTTACGTACATTTTAGCTTATTGTATATATGAAATGGCTTGATTGCACCTCCAGACTTCAAATGACTAAACTGTAAAGTTTTGGCCACTGCACACGTAAGGCATTCTGTACTGCCATCTAAAACTAGCCTATTATCAAAACACCATACTATGCACAATTATATATGATACTTTAGAGATATATATAAACAAAAGAAATAACAAGTAATGCGGACAAATGTTCTTACCACTTTGTTCATATTTGGAATTGTGATGTGGATCAGATAACAACCAGTTGACAAGAGCTGGGACATGAAACAATGCCTGAAGAGTACTATTCAGATAACATGTATTCCCTATATTAAGCATGCCCGCTCCAACTGGAAATGTGGCTTTCCATCCCAAATGTACTTTTTTTGGAGAATATAAAGTGATGGCTGGTTCTGGTAAAACAGGTCCTTTATTCACATCACTTTTCTTTTTATAATTTGCATTATCCTTGACTTTGTTCTCTTCTATGTTTTCAGAGGAAGGTAAACTAAGTACAATGCACTTAGCTTTCAGTTGATCCAAAATTGATGTTTGATAATCATTAGCTTCTTTATATTGAACTTCTGTTTGCAAAATACGAGAAGTGCCATTGACTAAATCAATTGACAGATCATCTGTTACTTTAGACGGACTGCTGTCCAAAGTACGATGGAGTCTAGCCGTAATAGGATCGCAAACACTGACCGCAGGCATCTTGGTATTATTAAAATTTTCTTTAGTGTCTATTAACTATATATGTATATAGATGCGCCTATAAACAAAAAAATATCAAACATAACATGTAATAATGAACATGTGCTTTTCCAACATGCCTGATATTGATTATATTAACAAGACAGATTATAAGAAAATATTGTGTGTCTGATGTATTTAAAATTCATGTATGTAAAATGCGTATGTATCTTAAAATATGTATTTTGTAAGAACTTTATAACAAAAGGACCATGCGTAAGGACTAATATGTGGAACGAGATATATCCTATGTAATCATTTCTTCCACTTAGATATATAACAAAATATTTATTATTAATTACAGCGCTGTTGATTATTTCAATCTACAACCTATTTGATAACGATCTTTTGAATAGAAACATGTCTCGATAAGCAGCATGCGGTAGATATGGTGTCAAATATAAATCGTTGTTTACCTGCCAGTCGATATATAGAAATTTTCCGGTGACGATTGTCGAGAATAGTGTGGCAACCATCTGCGTGGCGACAATGAATTTTCTCCGTATTTTTCGCTGCAGAATCACCTAACTATCGATTCATCACGAATTCCACAAGTTTGCTCGCCTCGACGCGGTTACCGGATGAGCTTTGCCGCGAGGTCTCTCGCCGCAAGTAATATTTCCCGTATAGACCAATCCGCTTTATATTAATTTTAACGATATGCGCGTAAACAATATTTTCTTATGTTTATACGCCGATATTGGTCACTACATACCAATCGTATTCGACGATCTTACGGTCATTCGACTTGGACACGCGGGAACGAAAGCCTACATGATCGCGACAGCCATTTGCATTTACAATCCGCCACTGGAATCTACTAACGTCTGATTCACATTGAACTTAATGGCGAATTCGATTGCAGTCCTGTTCCGAAATCGGCTTTGGAAGCTTTGGTTTCTGTTATTAAGTTGGTGAGCCTTAAACCAGCGGCACACGGTGCTTGTTTTCGTGCTGGATTGCTTGCTGGATAAAAATATTGCATTCTGATTGGTGCATTTCCATCCATCTTCGAAAATATACCAATCAGAATGCAGTATTTTCATCCAGCAAGCAATCCAGCACGAAAACAAGCACCGTGTGCCGCTGGCTTTAAACTAACTTGAATACGTTCCGTAATTGGTCAGCTTATCACTTTTAGATGTTGTCACAGCCATGTACTATTTCTGTTTACAAACTTGGCTGTAGCTGCTAATTTTGTAAAATTAGATAAAGAAATGGATACATTTTTCATTACTTATTATCAATTGATCAATTACGAAATGTACTAAATTTAAGGTCAACTTTATAATTAATACCAAAGATTCCGAAACCGATGATTTCGGAACAAATCTTTAGTAACTTTTAGTTCAGCCACCGACGAGGTAATATAAAGACTGACAGCCCTGGGTAAATTTTTGTATCAACTAAAGGGTCCCCGATAAGGGTACCCGAAGGTAATTGAAGAGCAATGATAATACCGATTGCTTTAGCAATTTATCTTAATCCGTTCTGCCTTCATGGATTCTTCGGAGCGAGGAGTTTGTGAAACACTCTGTATATATGTTTCGGATTGCAATTTTAGTATTCTTTCAACTTCGAATTATTAACTTAAAAAATGCCAACGTGTGTATATATTTAAAATAAAAGTTATTCTAAATTTTCTCACGTCTTGCAATCCTAAAAGACATACACACATACATATTCGGCCTGTTTTCTGCATTAATAGTCTGTGGCCGATATTCATAGTCAGGTCTTATATTTAAGACCGTCTTAAGTTCATTTTCAGATACCCCATAGCCAATGAAATGATTTGTATAGCATCTGAAGATAAACTTAAGACGGTCTTAAATTTAAGATTCAACTATGAATACCAGCCTTTGATATCTTCCGATATCTTTTTCCCATTATTCCATATCTACTTTCATTCATGCTTATTTCGAGCTATGTTTCATATTTCGACCATGATATTCCTCAGAGGACGCTAGTGTACAGCGAAATTTCTCTGGTACGCTAAATCCCGTAAGGCCAACAGTCTTTGTAATATCTCGTCGGTGGTTCAGCAGTGCAGCTAAAACGAACAGAGATCATTGGTCTGTTCTTTTCAGCTGCACTACTGAACTGGTGCAATAAGTTAAAGTGAGAAAAAATATAGTTGTCTCATTCTAACTTATTACACTAGTTCCGCAGCTGAAAAGAACAGACCACATAAAAGAACGATTAGTTTAACCGCGAAGATTGGTAAGAGTGTTTGTAAACGTCAGTTGTACAGGCTACTTTTTCATAACATAAAATCTATATTAACGTAATGCTGTTAATATATAAACCTATTAATATATAAATTTGAATTATGAATCCTGAAAAATTGACGAATTGCATAATGACAATATTAAATTTTTTAGCTATGTGTTTTTAAACTTATGCTCACATTATGTAAATGATGACATTGCCTGACGTTTTGTAGCACACCAGGTTTCAGAAGTATATACATGTTTTGCTATTATTAAGTGAATAGAATTTATAAAACATTGATTTTATATGTAACGTGTATTCTCCTTTTATTTAATATTAATCTTTACAGAGTTGATACAAGATATATTGGAAGCAGAGACATATCAACATGTTTAGAGATACTCAAAAAATTATTATAGAGGATGCACTCACTCCATCGGCACCATATGTCATAAATGTCAGGATGGAAGATTTGCTAGAAAAATTGAAATTATTAAATTATGATGCAGAATTTGTACAGGATTTAAAAATAAAACCAATAAACAGGTACAATAATCTAATATTAGTACAATATTAATGGCAAGTATATTTAGGCTTTTTTATTAGTCCAATTTCTCTCTCATATAGAGGTTTGTTATATTATTATAAAGTATTAGGATTAATTATTAAGATGATGTACAAAACTTTATTGTTTTACTATCTGTGCAAATATATGGGATATAGGCATTATTTTGTCATTCCAACCAATCCTGGGGAGCAATTTTATACATTCACATGTCTGGCTGCATGGTTGATTAGAAAGGCTGGAAAAAATTTTGAGATGCCTCAAGAATCAGATGATCCTAACTCAATGATAGCTTTGATCTTGGATTATCTCAGAGATATTGATATACCTATAGAATTCCCACCCAATAAACTCAAACAGGGTACTGGAGAACATGCAGTTTATGTCTTGGATAATTTGGCTGATAATGCATTAAAGATAGGAAATTTCAAATGGAACAAAGTCAGCATTCCACCCGATGAATCCACACCAGAACCAGATATTGAGGATGATGACGCAGAATTAATTTTAGAAAAGGTTGAAGAAGAAATGATGGCAGAATATGATGATGAAGATCAAGATATGTTGCATGTAGATGACATTACAAAATTTTACAGTCAAAATACTGTGAGTAGAATTTTATTATCTAATAAGGAAATTTCTAAGCAATTTCATGGTGCTATATTAAGATTACGGCTATCAGAATTACCTTTATGACTATTTCTATTTCTTAGAATGAAGGACAAAAACCAGACAGCATTTTGGAATCTAAAACTAGTAGGGATGAATGGCAATTGGAATTAGAAAAAGTTCTACCTCGATTGAAAGTGACGGTTAAAACAGGTATTAACTTCAGTGGAAATTTATCATTTATTTAAGATATTATTGCAAAGTTAAAATATTTTGATAGTTTAGTTTTTGTATTTTTATGATTTATTATATATATATATATATACATATATTTTTTTTTACTTTTAGAATATTCTGATTTTTATTACAGACTCAAGAGACTGGAGAGCACACCTTGAACAAATGAAACAACTGCGTGCAAATATTGCAACTAATTTAAGTGGCACGAAAACTCAATTAAGTAAAATATACACCGATATCGAAAATACTTTAGATAAAATTAAAACTAGGGAGACTTATCTGAATAGACAACTTGAGTCTTCTTTGACAGAGTACCGCATGTTGCAAGTTGGTTCTTACTACTTCTACTAAATAAATTTTTATCGTAAAAAAATTTACTTCAAATTGGCATACAAAAATACTCTAACTAAAGTGTTATAATTTTTATGATAATTATGACATATTATATGTTTAAATGAATAATAACTATCTTAGGAGGAACTGTCAAAAGTTAAGGAACAATATAGAGATGTTAGTGGTGGTGTTACAGAAAGGACAAGAGTTTTATCTAAATTAATGGAAGAACTGGAACATGTAAAAAAAGAAATGGATGAGAGAGGATCTAGCATGACTGATGGGAGTAAGTAAATGAACTCAATATATAATTTAGTTTTCGACTTTATTTGATTGACATAAAAAGAACCCATCTTGTGTTTTTTTTGCAGCACCTCTTATTAATATAAAAAAGACGATCACAAAAATGAAGAATGAAATTTCTGAGATGAATGTTCGGATCGGTGTATTAGAATACAGTTTAATGTGCGCAAGAGTACGAGACCGAACTCAGTTACGGGAGGACATGAATAGTACAAGTGCTTCAGTAATAATCTAAGTTATAAAGTAATATAACATATTTATTATTTGATTACATTGACATATATTTTAATCCGTCCAATATGTGATATTATATAATGAAGTCCAAGTTTGAAAAGTTTTCGTAGAATTCTGAAATGTACTTTAATGTGTTTGTATTTATACATATGATGACATTGAAAAGTCACATTAAGAACATTGAGAATATTAAGAACAGAAATTACATTCAGATCTCGATATAAAAAAATTTCTTTGAGCATCATATTGTGGCATATCGAGAGTCCCGAATGTTTATTATTATCACGGGTCCAATTATTCTCTGCCTTCAATAGAGTTGTAATGATATAATTATATGTAACTGAGAACACACACACACACACACACGCATATGCTGTTTGCAATATAAAATATATGAATTTTTCGTTCGCGTGTTAGCACTTTACATACATTTATATATTATAGCTCATAACTGACAATCGACACACAATCACAAAATGACTGTTTTAGTAATAGGTTTTCTCTATGTCAAATAAATCGTATTTTTATTGTTAATAGCTAAATCAATCCTAGTTTACTCATTTCAGGAAACATCTTGCCCTATGTTAAAATCTTGAAACTCTTTTTTCACAGATCATCTTAATTTTTATGCAGTAAAAGACTGAATGCAGTAATAAAGTTCTATTGAATCAGAAGATGAAACGCAGTATATGTTTAGTTCCACATTAAAAATTCCACTTTTTTTTTAAACAAAGAAGAATATACTTTAAGCTTTATTTGGAGAAAAGACAGGAAGTTCACATTTTATAAAAAAAAATGCAAAGATAAAAAAAAATTAACTTTCCTATGTCATATTCGAAACCTTCTGAATGTATCCGACAATATCGACGTAAAACTGTGCTTGTGTATCACAGACATGATAGACGACGCTTAATATAGTGTAGTTATCACACGAACCGGCGCGCATTCGCTCGTCGCATCGTGCTTCGAGTTGGACGTATCGAGAAAACGCGCGCGGCCTTCGACCACACCGACGTCAACGATATCGTTGTGCGAAAGAAAGTCGCGAAAAGTGTAACTTCGACGAGGATCAATTTCATCGAGATTAAAACAGGTGTGTAAAACAATATATAAGATATAAAATAGAAAAACGAACACGCTATTCGCTTTTAATAGTCAGATTTAGCCTCAATCTTCTTATCAAATTCTTCTTTTATCAGCTATTTAGTGTATTGATATCTATCCAGCTTAGTAAAATGACATTGATCTCGATCGATATGTTAATACTGATAAATTGTTGGATACGTGTTTATTTTAGAAAAATATTACTTTTAGTGCAATCAAAAACAGAATAATATAAAAAAGCAGTTCCAAAGTTCAGAAATTTATAATGCGCATGAAAATACACAAACAACTGCCCATCTACATGAGCGCATCGATGATTCTTCAATTATAAATTCAGCTTTCTGTTTAGAACGTAGGCCGTAACGTTCGACACTTCGGTATCTCTTTGTGCGCCAGGATGCGATAGCTTTCTTTTAAATTTACTCGAATCATGCTCCACGTTACGTACAAAGCTGGCGGAAAGATATTTTCTCTGTTACTTTCTCTTTCTCGATTTAACTTTCTTCGACTGTCTTGCGCACATTGTCAGGCGTAACAAGAAACAGGAAACAAGCTACAGAAAATGGGAAAAAATGGCAATGAATTAGTATATTTTTCACAGTCAGAAAATAAATAAATAAAACTCGATATTATATCGCGGTAGAAAAAGAAGATACATGCCGATGTCGAGAAAGTATAACATTGTTATAATTAAATACGTAGAAGAAAAACAGTCGAGAGAAAATAGGTTTAAAAATCACCCAAAAATGTCTGGTATTTAATTACCTAAGAATAAAATTTTGTATTTCATTTTGTATTTCAAATCTTAAATATCCGATGCATGTTAAGATATTGACGATATTACATTTATATCGTCAGCAGAAAGCAGATTTTTAATCGTTTCGTTCAAAAGTCAATATCTTGTTTGTAAATGCATTATAGGGAGATACAAGATAAATCAACGTATCTGCAATACTTATTGTCTTTAGAGATAAACTGTTAAGCCACTGAATTACAGAAGTCTACATCGTGTAGTGATAATGATTCTTATAAATACAGGTGTGTAAGGAAAAAGAAAGATGAGATGTGGTATACTTTTATCTTTTCTTTTTTATATGAAATCACTTAATTTTATTTATTTATAAATAATAATTCTCTCTGTTATTTCGCGTGCAAAATTATTATATTGTTAATAAAAGTTATCAGAATATCTTCCAAATTATAAATGTATATAAAGTCGAATGTGATATATGAATATAATCTCCCCGTATGCGTTGATTCATCTCCGTTTATTGTTTGACCTAAGGAGTGATGTTGCATGCATATTTTTATCTGTATATAATTTGAGCGATTCTCTGTAAAGCATCTATTGCACATTATGTATACCTATGATAAACTTGGACTTTAAACAGTGAGTAATACAAAGATATATTTATATGTATGAGTAGTCACTGATTTATGCACCATGTTCCTTGCATAATTACTTCAATCTTTGTGTTAGAAATATCATAATTATTAAAACGAGTGATGATATCGAGAGATTGACTAATCAAAAATATTTGGGAATCCGTGAAAAGTCTAAGTATCTTCCATGTTTTCTACATTTTTTCACACACATACTCGGAAAATTCATAAAGTATTTTATATCTTAAACTTTACAAAAAGAAGTATCTTATCACTTGATATAAATGAGGCAACACGTCGCTTCTCACGGTATAAAATTTTATCTAGTTAAACTGCTTGAGATCTAATACTGCTGACGTTGTGATTCCCGATATTCATTATCAACAGGTATACCTTCTATACAGGTGTACCTTCTGACTATTATATAGTCATTATGATATGGTTATTCGACGTATGCGTTTCATGTATTCATGGAAAAGCATTAATAATAAATTAAGCAATTGTTATTTCAAACGATTGACAATGCGTAGAAATCGTTAGAAGAGTGTTGCATTAACGTTTATTACGTTGTAAAGATAAACAAAGTTTCGCTATCGCTATATGTACCGCGATTGCAAATAATTCTTCAAGAGAAAACAATCCAACTACCTCTGAACATCTTATCTTGGTATCATCCTATCCTATCACATCCTATCTTAGAATGATTATCTTAGAATTATTATGGAATCATAAGCTCAAGAAAACATTCAAAACACGCGTGATCATATTGCAATTAGCAACTCGGTAAGATATTTGCACATATATTTACGTGGAATATTTTAAGATGAACTATGAAAACAGAATTAATTTTCGTTTCATACGGAATCATTTAAAATACTCATAATAGAGCGAGTTTAATTAAGTGACTTTAATTAAATGGCTGTTCACTTCGAGAGGATAATAATGGGATGCAAGTCATTCGAACGTTACTTGTCATGTCACTCAACATTTAACATTTTCGCGTACAAAAATATCGTAAAGCATAATGTAACGTGTGTATATATATACATTTTTCTTCAAGTTTCTTCTTTCCGTTCATTGCTTATGTCAACTTAAGTGTAAGAGGTGTACTACAGTGCAACTAAAGACCATATGTCTTCCAATGCATGCTGCATCTGTATTATGAAATTTTTGTGCATATATATATGAAAACTACAACTTTTCGCAACCAATGTACATGCTAAATTGCGTCACGATTATTTTGTAACAGGAGCAACTTTCTGTTCACGTTGACTGCTCATCAACGTAGAGAAATAATTATGATAAAACAGGTTAGTGTATGCTCAATGTATCAAATTTTGCGTATCATTTTGAACGTTATGCTTGCATACAATTTCTAATCGACTCGCGAATGTTGCACTGAGATTCACTGATATTATTCGTAAATATTTATTATAAATTCCGGTTTTTACCGTTTACATTTCTACTAATGTATACACAGGTTTTAGGATACTCTATGAACAAGCCAAAGGCCTTCTTTATATGTGCCAATGTACATGCTTTATTCTCTCGTTTATAGCTAAAATTGGCACGTGAATTATCAAAACATTATAGCTATCTTTACTTTATCTGTGATTATTTCAATTACATAGTGTATTTGCAAATATCTTACAACATGTATTTACCCTAATTACTGTGTGTGTTGTCTGTCCCATTGTGCTTTTACATATGAGTTCACTGTTCCATGAACGATTCTGCATATAACCATTATTCTTCATCTCAACAGTATAATTTTATTTATAAAAAAGAGGTGTGTACATATATGCAGAATTTTATTGTGCATGTAAAAATCTTTTGTATAAAAGCTCTTTATCAAATTTTAAACAACATTTTAACTTTGCATGTAACTAATGTTGAAACAATTACTTTTAAATATAATAAACAATCATCTAATATATTTACAAATGCAAGAAAAATAATATCAATTACTATCTGTTTATTGCTTTTAGATATAAAGCTCCAAGAAAGATGATGAGTTCCAATAAAAAAGTTGTGATTATTTTAATTGTTGGTGTAATTATAACAATTTTTGGTGCACTCACGGGATCATTTTGGCCTGCGATATATAATTGGATTATTGTAAAAGTAAGTCAGTTAGAAAAATATTAAAGTACATAAAGTTTGTACAATTGTAAAGTATATAAGATATATACAAATTATAAAGATAACACATTTAATGCATATATTTCTATACAGGTTTTGACATTAACACCAACATCTGTGAGTTACAATATGTGGGAGGAAACACCTATCCCAATGTACTTAAAATTTTACATGTTCAATTGGACTAATTCAGAAGATTTTATTGCTTCAAATGCAAAACCAAACTTTGTGGAGATGGGACCTTACGTTTTTCGGTAGTGTGATTTCAACAATTTCTTGTAATAGGCAATAGGTCATAAAATAATTTCAGGCTGAGCAAAGAATTATACATGTTAATTTGCAGGGAAATTGATTATAAAGTAAATCAGATATGGAACAATAATGGGTCTGTTACATTTCAAAGGAGGAAAGTATGGTTCTTTGATGAATCATTGTCTAATGGCAGTTTGTCTGACAAGATAACCAACTTGAATCCAATAGCTGCGGTAAGGCTTAGTTATATATGCATATATTTATACACATATATAATTATGTCATTAGATAGATAGCTTATTGTATGTGTTACATTGCAATATCTAATTTTAGACTGTTGCGTTTTCCGTGAGATTTAAGTCACAGCTTTTACGCGAAGTGACTGACAAGGTTATGATAACTCTAGGAGAACAAATAGTAATAACTAAAAGCGTAGGTGCACTAATATTCGACGGATACAACGATACATTGCTGCGTATTGCGAAAAAATTGAACGCGACTACTTTACCGTATACTAAGTTTGCATGGTTTTATGCAGTAAGTGCAATAAATTAAATATTCTGTGATTTAAACGATTCAATATAGTCTTGAATATAAATTGCAGGTTTTTGTTTGTTATTTTTTTTATAGAGGAATGGCTCGGACAGTTATGACGGTACATTTAATATGCTCACTGGGTCATCTAATCTATACGAGCTGGGACAGGTCAGGGAATGGAATTATGATAATAAAACGAATTATTACAAGAATTCATGTGGTACAATTAGAGGAACAAATGGCGATTTATGGCCACCTTTGATGGATAATAATACCGTGTCTGTATTTATCAATGATATTTGCACGTGAGTAATGGAATATGTTACTGTATAATTTGTATCACATCTGTGATACAGATTTACAGATATAACAGTGGAAAGAAATGAATATGTAACAAGATATGTTTATTGCTTAGATCATTAGATTTAGTGTTCGAAAATACAACAACATTTCAAGGTGTAACTGGTAGAAAATACATTGGGAATGATAGAATGCTAGATAACGGTAACATTGTAGCATCAAGACAGTGTTATTGTCCTAATGGAAATTGCGGACTTAGTGGAACTTTAAATATTTCAAGCTGTAAATTTGGTGCACCAGCATTTGTTAGTATGCCACACTTTTATCTAGCAGATTCGACTTATATAAACGCTGTGACGGGAATGAAACCTAATCGACAGAAACACGAACTTTCAATGGTTATCGAACCAGTAAGTTTATATTCACAGATATTACAGACTTACAATGTGGTGACAATTAGCAAGTATTTTATTCTCTTTCTCTCTCTCTCTCTCTCCTCTCTCTCTCTCCTCTCTCTCTCTCTCTTTCTCTCTCTCTCTCTCTCTCTCTCTCTCTCTCTCTCTCTCTCTCTCTCTCTCTCTCTCTCTCTGTATGTGTGTGTGTGTGTTTGATACATTGTATAAAAAATATCTTTTACAGACTACAGGTATTCCATTGCAAGTTAAGGCGCAATTGCAATTAAATTTGCTATTAGAACCAGTGGAGTATATGAGGTAAATAAGAGCTAGATGTAGTACAAGGGGGCAAACAATGATATACATGAGAATTTTATGTGTATTTTTTGTACACCTCTTTATGTGTACGCCTCTGTAAATAGTTTAAAACAATGTTTTGAGGACAAAACATCTCATTTATTTCTAATTTTTCAGTATGTTCCAAAATCTAACAAGAACTTACATTCCGATGCTGTGGTTCACTCAAGAGGCTAATTTAACTGCCAGTTATGCGAGTATGGTTAAGGTGGTTCTAATTCTTCCTACATTGGGCATTGTAACATGCTTTGGAATAGCAGGCATCGGAATTTTGATATTTTTTATTGGAATTTTTATTTTTATCCGAGCGAAATGGCGATATGAAGAAAGCCAGGTATTGTTATCCAAACAGGAAGACGATGTTGCAGATAGAGCCGGCGCGTGGTAATTTCATTCTCTTAAGTACCATAGATAGAATATTTGTACTTCTTTTTATAGTTTTGTGATTTCTTTTATGATTATATTCAGGCTTCCTTTCTTTTTAAGCCAGTAGCAAAAATAAGACTATGAATGTCTTGTAAATATTTAGTGGAGCTGCAAGAACATACAGTACATTAACATATAAAAGTGCCTATTCATCAATATAGCCATATATCGAATAAGTAATTAATGGCTGCGTTCAGTAGAACAAAATGATCAGTGAGCGCTTAGCGATTATTGTTTGTGATTGGAGCATTTTTTTAGATTCTTCATAGACCCAGAAGTATTTACCAATCAGGAGCGAGAATCACTAAGCGCTCACTGATCACTTTGTTCTGCTGAACGCAACCAATAATACATATAATTTGAATAGTTACTAAAGTATAGTATTAAACAAATATAAAGAGAGAGCAATTTATTTCTGAACTCTGAAGAATTAGTGAATATGCGAGAAAACAATCTTTGAACAATCTTTGAATATAAATCTTCCTTCTGGAGTCAGAGATGTATGTGTAGATACATATATATATATATATATCGTAATTATATTAGAATACAATAAGAGAATATATTAATATTATATATTAACCTTTTAAGTTGCAGCGATTTCAAACGCGAATTGTCCGCTGTGTACGGTTCGATATTCGCTTGTCGCGTCACCGAAGCCAAATATTCGAGTAATTTACACGCTTCATATAAAGCGTTAAGTACATCATGTCAAATCAAATATACAAGGCGCATATATATGTGTGTATAGTATACCAGGTATGTCGGTAATTACTTTCCGGTTTTTGTAACAGATGTCACTAGCCATAAGTATGCAATGTTATGATTTGATACATATGTCATTTTATTCTACTGACATTAACCTCAAAACTACACAAGTTACGTTCCGCCAAAATAACAGCGTTATAGATTAATAATTTTTTGAAAATGTCGAGTTTTGTGCCTGAAAACGTGCATTTGCGGCACGCATTACTTTTCTTGTTTAATCAAAAGAAAAAAGTCGCTGAAAGTCATCGTTTGCTGGTAGAGACTTACGGTGAGCATGCTCCAACCATAAGAACATGTGAAACGTGGTTTCGACAAATCAAATGTGGTGATTTCAACGTTCAAGACAAAAAACTGGTCCTGGTAGGCCGAAAACGTTTGAAGATGCGGAATTTCAGGAGTTATTGGATGAAGACCCAACACAAACTCAAAAACAATTGGCAGAAAAGTTGAATGTGAGCCGAGTAGCAATTTGTGAACGATTACAAACGATGGGAAAGATCCAAAAGATGGGAAGATGGGTGCCACATGAATTGAATGACAGGCAATTGGAAAATCGAAAAATCGTCAGTGAAATGCTGCTTCAAAGGTATGAAAGGAAGTCATTTCTGCATCGAATAGTAACGGGTGATGAAAAATGGATTTATTTCGAAAATCCCAAGCGAAAAAAATCATGGTTATCACCTGGCGAAGGCGGCTCATCGACTGCAAGGCCAAATCGCTTTGGTCGCAAGACTATGCTCTGTCTGGTGGGACCAGGTTGGTGTCGTATATTATGAACTGTTGAAACCTGGAGAAACAGTTAATACTGATCGCTACCAACAACAAATGATCAATTTGAACTGTGCATTGATCGAAAAACGTCCACAATACGCTCAAAGACATGATAAGGTGATTTTGCAGCATGACAATGCGCCGTCTGATACAGCAAAAAGTTAAAGAAGTGTTGAAATCATTTGGATGGGAAGTTTTATCGCACCCGCCGTACTCTCCAGACCTGGCTCCATCCGACTACCACCTTTTCGCATCGATGGGGCACGCGCTTGCAGAGCAGTACTTCGCCGATTTCGAAGAAGTTAAAAAATGGCTCGATGAATGGTTTAGCTCAAAGGAGAAACAGTTCTTCTGGAATGGCATCCATAAATTGCCTGAGAGATGGGCAAAATATATAGAATCAAATGGCCAATACTTTGAATAAATATATTTTAACTATCCATTGTAAATAACGTGTTTTCTTTAGCGAAAAAACCAGAAAGGAATTACTGACACACCTGGTATATCGATGGATATATGCTCAGAGCATATATGTACCCCTATAGCAGTTAAAAGGTTAATAGCTACTTTATAAAGTACTATAGCTATTATATACAAGCTGGTAACAAAATACAATCGAATAGATGATTATGCTAATAAAATTATTAAAAAAATAGTAGAAATGATCACCACACATTCACTCTATAGAAGAGACTCATTATATAGAAAGTAAAGTAATTTTATATATAGCTATTTCACAATCTAAATATAGTATATGTAAGATATAAGATTTTAATTAGCAATTCTTTTCCGCTTATTGTACATGGATAGTAAAAAAATTCTAATTTGAAAGGTCGCATTGTTGATGTTGCTTCTATAGGCAAAATACTAAAAGTTATAATCTCAAAATGTGTGCTCGATTTACTGAATTTGTTGAGTAAATTATATGCAATAAACACGATGCCATTGGAAATTATCATGTATTTAAAATTCTAATTACTTGTTGCGACTTTTAGCTATATTATATCTTAACAAATTATTAGTATATTATATTTTTAAATTATTAAGTTTGAAATTAATATTAAAGTAATATTAAAGTTAATATAATAAACACATTTTATTTACATTAATGATCGGATAATGACGGAGAATTTAGATTTGGAGAAGCCTTGGAAAATACGCTAATTAGTGATGGTATAGTGTGAATATCACATTATATGAAGAAATCTATTAAGCGAAAGGCTTAATAACGCTTCTAAAGGTCAATCTATAAGTAAAACCTAATTGATACATAGCATTTAACATCATATTATAATTCCAGCAGATTTGAATGAAAATCTATTACAATGTAATATATTATATTTTCATGTTATCACACATAAATACACACACATACACACACACATACACATTTCGATATATTTGTTGTAAATCCTAAATATCTGTGATACTTAATTGTGAAGATGTAAGCGTATGTGCGAAAATGTTATGGAAAAGAATATATATATATCTGTTTTATGGAAAATATGTGTACTGATTATGATATGATTTATATTGTATCTTAATAATAATTTTATATTTTTTTGCAGTATAATTCTTCCAAGTCATACGCTCGCTTGTTACGTAAGAAAAAAAGACATTTTTGCGATCCAGGATAGCTATCCTTGCGAAAAATAATGACAATTGATAAGATCAGTTTCAAGTTAAAATTGTGGCGGAAGAACACTCTTCCTGCGTCGGATGGAATATATATTTTTATCGATAAATCAATATTCTCTGAAATTAGGACGCTAATCAAGTACACAGGTTGTTTCACATTTATCAAGTTATCCTTTATAAATTTTCCATCAATTTCTTAGGAATTAAATATTCTTTAACGAAAATGTCAAAAAATTAATTTTTTTTTTAACGAATATGACATTGGAAACAAGTAATTTTTTCAGGATTTGTGCCTTAGGATAAATATTTTTCATTCAATTCCAAGTAAATTTTAAGATTTTTTCAAGTAGAATTTAGTTATAAAGTCATGTAATGTCGATGATTGTACATTTGTAACAAATAATAGTCAAGATGTAAATTTATCAACAAAAAAAGAATGGTTTAAAAGAAGATATAATTGATTAGTTTGAGCAGTTTGATAGGTTTTGATACACTCTGTAGGCGACGATCTATAACAAATTAATTTTTTATATGCTTCCATTACGAAAATTTTACACGTCACATATTTCCATATTTTCTCGTTAATGTGCTTTTAACGAGCATCGAATAATTTAATAATATGCCTAATAAAAAGAGTTTATTTTTTTGTGTAGTACTATAAAGTGGCTTTCCCATTTGAATTATCGCGCTTTATTTTCGTAAATTTCACATGTTTTTACTAAAACAATAATGTTCATAATATTGATCTTTTATGTTTTCAGATTTAAAATTTCAGATTTAAAATTAAAAAATGTATGTTTTCTAATATCTATATCGATATTTTTTTTAACAGGTTATTTCTATTACGAGTCAGGCCGCATAATCGGTCTTCCACTGTGTTAAATATTAATCATTTCAAGATCAAATTTCATATAGTCCGAGCGATAATACGACTGGTATAAGCAGTTTAAATAATATAAAAAATATTTTTTGTCCGTTTATATTTATTTTCCCGTATAAGAACATATTCTTGTAGGTAGAAGAAAAAGGTCATAAAAAATATGCTGGAAGAATCGTAAAATACAAAGTTGTTAGGGACTGCAAGTTCCTCTTCATGGTAGTATCATTTTCATTTGATACTAAAGAAGTTGTGTTGTAAAAGAAAGAGAGGTGCTTTTCAAAAGATCAAAAAGAAATAATAAAAAGACTGAAAACGCTGGCAACACTGGTATTTGTATTCCACTGACTTATCAAGCTCGGACTTTTTTCTTTTGACTCTTGGGGATCTTTTGAATCTCTCGTTGGTTTGTTACAGACATTAATTCTCTTAGCATCAGTGAGATACACATGTGTGTGTGTGTGTGTCCTAAGGAGAAACACACACACACATATGTATATATATATATATATATATATATGTATAATATATATATATATATATAAATACGAGGACACTTAAAAAATCTTTTTCTGCTTGATATGTTTTAGTAGTATTTTTTTATTATAAAAATAGCACAGAGATAATCACCGTTTCTATGTTATGTCTTTTTACTATGATGATATGACTAGAACTAAATTACTAGAACTAAATCAAAATTACACAACGAATATTTTTTTACTATATTATATATATATATATGTATATATATATTATACTATATTATACAAGTTCATATTTCGTGATAAACGGTTGAATAGAGCGCTATCAATCACCTGAATTCGGAAACCTGTCATGATGTTACGCGATCTTCCTCGTATTGCCCACTTATATGTCATAATCTTATCCCTCATTCAGCCCTCAAGATAATTAATATTAACGAAGTGATTGTGTACGAAGACGATACGACGAATGGCATGTAGGAAATGCGGTAAATTGCGATAAATCGCCGAAGATAAGATAGCAGCGAGGCAGGTGGCGATTCAATAGACGATGATGAATGAACGCGTGAATAAACAGCGAGGGATGATGAATACTACAAAAACAGAAGATCTTACGATTTGCCGAGAATTACGTTCTATTAAATTATTAATGTAATGGGATCACAATCACACGATTACGTTTAATTCAGGTACGATTCCGCTTTTATTGTCAAGATTTCTTATTCATCGAAAGAGAGACTCTTTGATTAGAAAAAGCTAAAGAGATAAAGAAATATAAAAACGAAAAGAAAAAGAAAAACAAAAGTTATATTGAGAAAATTAATGTGCACTTAAATTTACAGCGTAAGTAATTGTACAAGATATCACGTAATAATCAGGTGAAATATGTATTTTCGTTCGTCCGGATCGTCCGCGAATTTCACACTGTGCGGCGTGACCGGCACACCGTGCACTCATCGGGCTCCGTTAAAACAGCGCACCTCAGTTTCGCAGAGTCCGCCGACACGTTCGCGTCCTTCCGCGGAGATTCGACGTTGTCCTTGTTCCGTCGGGGTGCGTTTACTTTCGCGCGAGGGAGCACCGTAACGATCTCGAGAAACGGTCGCCAATGACTTGTCGAATGCCGCATTTCCGGTATGTTCTTCTTGCCGAAAGTGGTCGCCCGGTAAACGAGTCGCCGAGAAATCGAATTAGAACTTTACGTCGCGCGAAGGAACTAGGCGATCGACTTGATGAGAAGTTTACGCGCGAATGTCACCGATAAACGTACGTGAATGAATTTCCGCCCGGCGGAAACACAGATCGTGCACAAATTATACGAAATTATTTCATCGAGTCAAGTAATTATTGTTAAGTAATTATCAATAGGAAGCACGTAGTATTCGCAAGTGAAAAGATTATATTTTCTTTTCATCTATATCTTTTTTTCATTTCGGCGTGACAGTATCTGACTGATTTTTATTAATTATTTTTCACCTCATTTCTAAGTCAGAGTACATTCTCAAATCAATATTAACTGCGAATACTTTACTTTTGTACACGTGCAACATATATTTTCTGATTGTTTTTAACAATATTCAATCTTACTTTCTGCCGTCGTACGTGCCGTCGAACTGTCGGACGTGAAATGTCGGAAAGGTTGTAAATTTCTTTAAATATTCCATTATAAATACATGTGTGAGTAATAAAAGCCTAATCTTACGTGACGGAAATTCGTAGCAAAGAAAGACCATTACTGTTATGAGCCCTCGAGAGGCAGAATAACCACGCAACTTTTCATCATAAAGCAACTAAATGTGTGACCGTGCTTTCGCGAGTAACGTCAACATTTCATCGCATATTTTTGCATATATTTCTTTAACGATTTCACGACAACTAATGCTACAGTAGCTTTTTGCAAATGGATTAGATTAGATAATGTTATTTTTTGGCAATCCGTCCGACAAGTTAATTTCAGTATGAATCGCAACGACGGGGAACGCGTGCGATATATGCGCGACGATAAATTTCAGCACGGTGACATTACAAGAGTCCGACGCCGAATAAATTCGCGGTATTTGCATTCGTATCTGAAGAAAGGCAGTATACGTAATTTGGTTTCTCGGTTGGCTTCTCACTTGGTGTACCAAACTAGCATACTACTTCACTTTGCGCGCGAGCGATCATTCCATGTAGAAAAACAAAATTCAGGATGTGGGATAAACTTTTTGATAGGAAAGGCTGGCTCAGTGTTAGATCGCGCGTTAAAACTCGTTTTGTCGAGAAGTTTATAATTGCGAGAAAATATGCGTTTTCTTTCATAAGCCGAGCAATTCAACGAAAATGAGCTTTTGCTTAATCAACCGTTAAAAGAGCACGACCGAGTGAAAAGTTATTCTCTCCGTAATTTATTCTCACGTTGTACGTAGCCGATAAAATATTTTAATTACTAAGCTTAACAAAACCTGTTAATATATAGGATTTACATTATAATGAAGTGAAGCACGAAGACTTGGTTAACTTGAACAAAAGATGAGAAAGTGTGGTTTTAATAATCTTTCGGCAGATCGGGGCGAAAGTTCTGCGAGTAAATGTCTTGTTACTCGTATCACGAGTATATCAATAAAAAGTGTGCGAGAGGTTAACAGCACATTAGCACTTTTTTATTGGTTTGCGCTTACCATGGCTAGACGGAACGTCGAACGATAGAAAATTCTTGGTAAAGATAGTAATTACATTATTTTCTCAACCGCTGATTAAAATTTAGGTGAACGAAGTTATCTCACGTAAATTAAAATAAACGAAGACTAGTTTTACACTTTGATAGTTTAATTCGTGAAATAATAACTCGTGTGCGAACAATTCTTTCGTGCAAACAAAGTCGCATAATCGATATTTTCACATTATGCAATTAAGGATTAAGGATAATGATATTTCGCTTCCGGATGATTGTTCTTTCATTATAATTAAGACAGCGACGTTGTTAACGACATTTCCTTCCGAGAGACATTTCCTTCCTATGTGTCCACTAATTTACTTGTAACCATTACACCGCGATCAGTGTCACTTAACTCTCGTCTATTGCTATTATTTTACCCGTTACTTCCCCGATAGATACCGATTAATCCTCGTCAGCCTCGGGCAGTTTCCAGCAATCGTTTATCAGCAATATCGATTTAATTAAATATCTGTGTATATGCGCAATCCGTGTATAAGTGCACTGATGTGATTGATCTCGCGCTAAATTTTACGCTTCTAGAAAGACAAACGCGAAATATTTCGAGAGATAGTAGAAATGATGTATCTTACAAAAGGCATGGTATCAGTTTGATCATACTACACACAAGATATCACACAAAATTCGCAATTTCCTTTTCTGGTAATATTTCGAAGATTGTAAAACTGACATTAACTATACGTCATATATAACGTACACTTTTCTGGCAAGAAACTAAAGATATGTATGCGGGTTTGACAGGAGCGGTTCTGCGATGTGATCGATGGATAGATTACGTGGAGTCAGGCATCTACGGCGGCATTTGGTTACCTTTGTGCGATTAGGATAGGATAAGCTGTTGTGCTGCATCGAAATCACGAAGTTTGTGCATACAGTTGTGCGCGAGAACAATATATATCCGGCATAGCAAATAGACCAAATGAACGACTCGAGACTACGTTCTTTATTCCGCGCGAACGAAGCTGATTGCGATACAGCTTGGAGCATCGAGGGAATGCATAATATCTGCTTCGGATAAATTCCATGCTGAGATTACACCGAGATAAGAAGAGGGAGGAGGAAGAGGAAGAGAAGGACGAATTTGAAAAGTAGCCTTCTTAACAAGTTGCACGTGCATCAGCCAGCGACTTTGCAAGGGTGCTTCGGGAGCACCTTTGCATCAACTTTTAGATGACATTAAACGACGTTCAGTTTAACGAACGACTTTGCTCTTTGCTCGCTTAAATCAACAAATGTCTAGCACTATGCCGATACAACGGAATATCGCACCTACGAGTAGATCGCGGACGAAGCGTTTGCACGGCACGTAACTCTTCGAGGGAACTACGATATCGGCGTTTTCGACATATATATCACGTGGAGAATGCCGAAGTAAGATCGCATCATGAATTTCGCCCTGTCGACGATCGCCGTTTGGCTGGCCTCGGTGACACCTCGTTTAAGCTATGCGCTTGACGATGCGGACTATTATTCGTCCATGGAGAGCGGACGTTTCGAGTACGCCAACGTTACAAACTGCACGAACGACGAATGCATCTCGGATGAGGATTATCTCGAGATGATGGTGGAGCACATATTCCCGAAGCTGTCCGACTGGGTGTTGATCGCGATGCACAGCATCGTCTTCGTGGTCGGTCTGATCGGCAACGCGCTCGTCTGTATGGCTGTCTATCGGAATCATTCCATGAGGACCGTGACGAATTATTTTATCGTGAATCTGGCAGTGGCCGATCTGCTCGTCTTGCTCATCTGCCTGCCACCGTCGGTACTTTGGGATGTCACGGAGACCTGGTTCCTCGGGCTGAAGCTCTGCAAGGCTGTGCCTTATCTTCAGGTAAGCCTATCACATTTGTCTCCGCGTAAGAATGCACTAGGTGTGGACTGTAGATGTTTCGCAACGATTTACAATCTTACGTTCTACTCGATCTACTAGTGAGAAATCCTTTATATTCTGCATTTTCATGGGAGAAGAGAACGAAACACATTTGACTGTACAAGATCTCTGACATTCAGCAATTTTACCGAATTTGTTAAGCTTCAGTGGCGCTGCTTGGTGCTTGGTTTTCCTGGAACATTCGACAAACGCTTGGTCCACAAATTGCCCTTTGTTCGCGTTTGAGAAATAGAAATTATTCTCATTCGCGACCCGATAGGCTCTCGCTCGACCTACTTGGATTTAGCACGGTGATCCTTGGTTTTCGCAACGCCCATGATGAGAAATAAAACTGACGGTCGTTCTTGTTGGAACCAAAAGTAAATTAATCGATCGTGCAAGATGAGCAAGTTTTTACAAAATTTTACAATCGCAAAATTTTCGAAATTGCTCTGAATTACACGTACATTTGCATATTCAGAAAGGAGATGGATTATGCTAATTGATCTCATGCCAATTATTGAAATTCTTCCGCGGGTTTTTTTTTGTGGGTTTTTGGGAACTTTACAAAAACGTTACAAAACCTGTTTGCTACGGAGAATAATAAAAGAGTCTTCTGTGAAAAGCGTATTGAAGTTTCTTAAAGCAGAGCCGACAGTGCAAGAGAAAAAAGTATTTGTGAGCTTCGACGATTTCGAGCGATCCCGTATTCGTTTCTAAATTTACGATTTAATCTCTGTCCACGTTACTCGATTTAATATCGTCTCTCTCGGTGAGAAACGGTTTTCATACGCGGTTTTCGTACGCGATGCACGTGATAAAACTGACAAAAATTGGCATTTGAGACAGAGCGCGGAAATGGTGCGACACACATCGTCTTTCGCGCTTCCTTTAGCAGCTTTAGAAAACCCCTTCGCTATTCCCAAACGCCTCTCAGCCTTCTCGGAATTCACAATCGAATACGGGCAAGATACGGAGGAAGTCGAGCAGCATACATTTTGCAATATTGGCTTCCGCTTTCTATTCCACCCTTATCGGGTGCCGAATGTCGCAACTACTGCGACTTCGGCAAAAACTGAAAAAATTTTTTATCGCTACTATGTAATATACAACGTGTGCAAAAATGTGTCAAATCTCTTTCCATAATCAATGATAAAACAAAAAGAAAGTAAGAAAATTAATCGAAAAGAATAAAAAGGAATATATTTTTATTATTTCATTTTACATTATTATTATTATCGGTCGAATGTGAGACTCGAACGGAGGAACTCCCCTTGAAACACGCTATTATTATTCATTATCATAATGTATAGACATAGATTCACATGGCGAGCCTTTATTTCGGTCAGCACTCAAGACTGATAAATCTGTTCGCGCAATAAAAATCCTTTTTAGCCAGGCACAGTTAAGTTGATTACCACTTTTGCTCGAATTACGCTACTTTACTGAGATTGTTCCTCCTAATGATAGTTTCGCTAATGTTTATTCGAATGTATTGCTAACTTCATTTGACCGACATATTGTAGCCTCTGTGAGGTGAGATTCTTCACAGGATCGAGTTTAAATCCGGCTGTTAATTGGCTCATCATCGAAACGTTAAATGCTTTGATGTATTTAATTGCATCATTACATAACACAACGAAATAATTAAAGCTCCCGATTTACTGGTATATCCAGATCGATTTACGCGATAAACATTGAGACAAATTAGTTTTCTTCAGTCGTAGATTAATGGGCAGCTGTCTAGATAGATATTTAAAATTTGACTTAAAAAGTTTGTAACAAATCTCACGTCTAATGAAATTTTCTCTGTGAGCAAGTTGACTCAACTTCTAAATTAATGTCTTACAACTTGCGCTCGCGGAGAAACTCTCTCTACACAATTCTTTATAAAATATTCGAAAAAATTGCAAGGAAAAAACACATGGAAAACTCTTCAGACACGACAAAATAAATCGATGATGGTATCGTAAACTCGAATGCTGAAGAGAAATGAGTCATCGCAGTTTACAGTGCCTGATTCGATCGAGAATAGTTTCTCAAGCACACGACAGATGGCCAAACTAGCTGCATTCTCTTCTCGCATTTATTTCTCAACATAACCAGTTATATAAAGAAATGGTATGGTAGCGATCTATCAAAAAGGGCCCACGCTACTTCTATAGCGCGTTATCTTGACGTAATGTCAGGGTAGCGGGGTATGGCTATCAAGACATACCCTGTGCGTAATTTTTATGACCACGAGGCTATTGGCTGCCAATTAAGCACCGATGCCTCTTCCTGTCGTGATTTAATTTCAAATATCTTTATTATTCTCGAATTGGATGGGTGTACATTTTTTTTCCTACGTTTCATGAGCAATTTTTTAATTCACATTCTTCTTTGAATGTTTACGGAAATGTTTTACACGTGTGTGCTATTACATCTCGCTGCTGGTTGGTCGATTTTTTTCTAGTTGAGTTACATGTGCTGTGAAGTGTATTGTACACGCGCGAAAATTTTTTAAATATTTAAATTTTGTATCCATAGAGCTTCATCTTTATACATATATAAGCATATATATGTATGTAAAAGAAATCATCAAATAAGCCGTGTCTGTGTTGAAACTTTCCAAGAAAAACTTTCATATTATTAAACTTTAATTAAGTAATGTTATGTTATTTTGGACATGTATAAAATATGTACATATTAATATCCTCGATAAAATGAAGCCACGATGAAATTATATCTTGTTCTGTAGGCAGTAGCGCGGTATTGTAACTGAGATTTTATTTTTCATATAAAAGCAGACAAAATATGCACATATATTAATATGTATGTCAAAATTTTCCACGGGATTGTATTTGATTAAAAACTGAGTTACTCTTAATTAAAATTGAATTAATGGAAATTTAGCTTTTTAACAGGACATTTAGTTCCCGGTATGGGATCTTAATATTTTGCGTGCTCGACGACTGTGATCAATTTCTGTTGTTTTTTTTTTTATTAAAAAGAAGCTATGGAATCACATTTATTCCTACTTTTATAGAGCCACTGTTGGAGCAAGTCAAATGATTTATGTCGCAAGGCGGTTAAAAGTTATCCAAGCCGAATTCTCTCTACTGTGCAATGTATTCTTCGAGTCGTGTGTCGATTTTATCATTGTTTCGTTTCCTCTCCTATCGCCAGCCATTAGAAACTTGCGGTTGTAACGTGAAAGCCCATTTCTAGACTCTGTATCTTCGGGAGCATTTATTGTCCTTTTTGCTCATTATATCAAGATTTATGTGCTCGATTTCATTCAATCTACTTCTTCATTTACCAATGATTTAACGTTTTTCTCTTTAAAGTAAACGATCATTGAAAGTGACGAGGACGTTAATAACGAATTGTTCAGTATAAAAATAATAGGGAGGCAATGCTTGTGTGTGCGCACGTGACAAATGTTCATCTCATAGGATAAAAATGCGACGTATATTTTGCTTAGTCTCGGTGACAATATCAACCACGTAACAAACCATTAACGTTAACGGTTATTACCGTATTACCTTTTCTCAGGGCTCAGGGCGCAGGGCAGAAATACTATCGTCGAAGCTAAAAGTGAAATGTACGATTTGCCTCTCTCGATAATCGATAATTTTCATTACAATCGATAAAATATACGGCTGTGGAAAGCACATGCAAAAAGTTCTGCTATAAATATTATTTTACCAATTCATTCACTTCTCATATGCGATACGACGTGAGATCGATGTGCCGTTTATCTTTTCGTCTACTAAGAGCAAACGCGACACGCGTTTTTATAAACGTCATAAATGACATATGTTCTGGCGGCGTATCGATCCTAACTTCTACAACTTGGTAACCATAATGTTGGCTGTTGCATATTCATAATTATCGCACGTGGCGAGTTTCCACCAAATGCAATATGAATGCAAATTTATTAAATTTAATAAACATACGAAACTGATCAGTAAAATATCCGTAAATCATCCGTATATCATCGGTGATATGTGACGTGTTGCGCATAAAGCGCAACAACGATCCTTCCATCACGATCCACTCTATCCCAGATTCTTTTCGAATGCATCGTGCAAGAAAATTCTGCGCATTATATTGTCGCGCTGGATTACATGCGTCTTGATTACACGAGTACGTGCCCGCACGTGTAAATTCTGTTTGTACGTTTGTTTCGTACTCGCGGAATGCATTATACCGTGTCGTGCGTCCGAAGGCATGCATTTGCATATATATATATATATATATATTCTTCTTTCTTATCCACTCGAGCTTTCATTCGCCCATTACAGTAATCTGCGACACGTGAAAGAGGATCAAGTGATATTAAAGACACGTGACAAACGCGCACGACAAAGATGACATTTTTCCGTTGTTACGTGTCTCAGGCGTTTGTTTGTCATACCTGTCGTTGCATCGTTCACTGTTCATCGTTCACCGTTCACCGCTCGCAACACGAGCAGTCTATTTTGCGCGAGCCACAGAGCATCCCGCAATTGAAGCCGATACCTCGTATGATTCCTCGTAAAATTCCTTGCGGTTGATTTTTGTTGAAAAAATCATGAATAGGTGTGCATGGGTGACGCATGATCGGCGACGATGCTCGTTGATATCGTCAGGACCCGTCGTGCTCACATCGCGCGTACAACAGATAACCGATATTTCCATCAATCGTCGCGTAACATTGTCGAATATAAAAATCGCGAGAATAACGGCCGCGCGTTCGGAACAAACGAACTTTACAACTATTATTCCGCCTCATAGACCGAGAACGGGGAAATACAGTCGGAGGTTGAGGAGGTTCACCGTCATATCGATCTGTCGATGACAATTCGAGTGAGAAAACCCGAACGTAAAACGCGAACGTTCGCGGCTGTTTTACCCCCTCTTCCTCCCTCGTTCCTTAATCGTACTCTCGTCGACTATTGAAAATGATATTCGGTAACGCGACAGTTTTCATTGCGTAACGCGCAAATTGTTCGCGTTGCGAATATCGCGAACGCATTGATTCTTATTTTGTAATCTTAATTCTCGGCTCGGACTATATTTTACCGCGAATGCTCGAAAAGGTGTTTCTCTGGAAAAATTAATTATGTACCGGATAAAGGGAAGGAGAATGTTTCGTGTACGATATTTCCGTGCGGTCGTCCATCTAACGAGTACTAGCCGTGCCTAAGTATGTTGCTTGAGTAGTACTGGCTGCTTAAGTAGCCGGCGTTGGGTCAATTTATCCCGGGGGATAGTTTTTATCTGCATTATTTATCACGAAGAAAGATAGAAGGGGTCTGGCCACACACACACACACATACACACACGAGGTCTTCCATTGTTAAACCGTGTCCGACATAATCGTTGAATTATTAACGGGTCCATATCGAGATAAAGTTGAAAAATAGAGAAACAATGAACAGTCGGGAGAAAGAAGTTACGGTAAATAAACGCGAATTCATAACAGGGTTACCCGAATTCAAACGCGCACGGTCTATTCCTATTGCGAAGTCGTTAGTGTTGACCATCGAGTTTACGACGTTAAACCAACGTAGTATCAACTCTCTTTATCGTCTATTGTTCAGGACGCTGATATCAAGGTACAATAAGAGGACGCCACGTAGTGGCACAGAGTTGTTCATTTATCCAAAGTGTCTCAAGACTATATTAAATTTAATCATTCTTTACAACTGCGATTGCGGCTACTAAACTTTGGCGAATGCGGCCAATAAAATAAAATTAATTAAGCTTCAGGATACGCGCGCGTGCTCTATTAAAGTATCGTACGTGGGATTTGGGACGCCCTATATTGTGTTGTGGGCAATTCTGCAGCAGTGCCATATCGGACATCGATTTAATCTAGAAACAATAAATGATGCTTTATATATCAAAGCATTTATTACCTTTATCACGTAATATCTAATCTCGCGATATCTAGTATTAAATATATATCTAATATTAAATATATATCGAGGAGATCAGATCTCTATACATAGGAGAGATCCAGAGAGTGTCCTCGGTCAAGCGTACTCCCTTTCAACTTCAAGCGGTCTCTTCGAGTTCGATAGTTATCCTCGAGTGAATTTTCCTTTCACGAAAGCGCCGAGGCAGCGATAACTCTCCGATTATGGGTGATTGTTCTTGATGTCTTCGTGTTACCGTTGACGAAAAATCAACCTCGACTCGGCCGTTAAATGTAAATGCGTTGCAAACGAAGCGTTCTCTCCGTATATGCTAATTATTCGCATTTAATTTATTACATATTAATTAAGTATTTTTATTTGCTCATGCCCTCGGAATTTTTCCATTTCCTTTCCGTTCTTCGCGCGCATCGTAATGTTCGTTCCGGTAAATGCATCTCTCGCATGTTTTCGACTCTCTTCTTCTCACAATTATATATAAAAAAAAGATTGCTCTCTCTCTCTCTCTCTCTCTCTCTCTCTCTCTCTCTCTCTCTCTCTCTCTCTCTCTCTCTCTCTCTGTTCAGCTAGCGGTAGAATAGGCGAAATAACATGACCACCATATTAATGCTTCTATCGCGACTGCTACGACCGTTACAGCGTCAAAGCTAAAAGCATCAGCAAAGGCAATCACATACTGGCCAACATCGTCGTTCGGTAAATTAATCGAAGGTCTATCGTTTCCACGACACATTACGGACAATACGTACACACCTGTGCTGTAGCTCGTATATCGCGAATACGAACGTCAAAAATCAATGAAAAGTACCCGCGAACGCGGGTACGGGCTAATCGTGAGTAGGGTCGACAATTTTGGAGGTATATTGGATTTATATTTTGAGATTATGTAATCCAAGAAAACAGATAAGAAATATTTAATTAATGTCGGTCGACGAATTAAACGATTTCAACGGGACCATTCTCGAAAATCAATGTGCCTAAAAGGGAAAAGAGCTTTGCTTCTTGGTGTAAAATGCAGGATTACTCCGGTTTTCATACAAACAGCAATTTTTCATGATCATATTCATTTGTCTCGCGTAAATCCGTAAGAATTATAGCAACATACGGAGTCGGTGTTTGTCGGTTTCGTTATATATGCACTTGTTTACCACGATGCATGTTGCCGTTGGTAAAAATAATGCAGGATTTATATAAAGCTGCATTTCGCAAAATATTTTGCATACATGCAGTTTCTCTTAATCGGATATTCAATATAAAGTCAATTTTAACCATTATCATCGGATGCTATAAATTTCGCTTCTGGCTTTGCGTCAGTCTGTAAAAAAACGAAACTTTTTTATTTTAAACGTATTGTATTATAAGAGAGAAAGAGAAAGAAGGACGGAAAATCGCCGGGAATGTGTCGAAATCTCGTTTTACGCTCGACAGGAGGTTCTGAACCAAAACTACGTATTCCGTCGCAAATAATAAGCCGCTTAACGAAATCTCTCTTCGTAACGATTGTAAAATACACCAGGTTAGATTGCACCTTTCATCCGCGTGTAACAGCACAGAAAGTTGTACACGGAACCTTTCATCGAGTTTAAAATTATTTCAACCACACATACCGAATTCCGCTTTATCCCGATGTATCTCGTACTTTGAGTACGAGAGCAACGAGAGACACGTACACGATAACTTGACTTGAGATTTGTCCGAGATTTAATACAGGAATTGTATTGCAATTGTATTGTTTATCTATCTTTTCGTGCAGTAAAATCGACTGAAAGAAAATACGTACGACGGAGAAGAATTATGAATTATCGTAATATTCTTCCGATTAGTAATGGAAGGAGAATTTGCGAGAAACTGGAAAAAATGACAAATTTATCCGCGCAAAAAGAGACTGCGTGAGGCGAGACTCGCGCTGAAGCGTTCTATCGTATATTATTGCGTTGACATGCAAAAGTGTACGAAGCTGCAGCTATTTCAGCTGTATGTGTAACTTGATTAATCGTTTGAATCTAGAACGAACGATGAAGTTACCGTCAACGAATGTATGTTATACGTAAATAATATATTACGCTGCATGTAACTCCGGCGTGTTGACTGCGCGTTGACACGCGTCGAAAAATACTTTATGTCGGTTACTGTTACAAGTTGAAGAGACCGCTTCACCCGACCGGTGAATCTGAAACATCATGTATATCACGAATAGATCGATGATATCCATTAATCAAGCGCGGTCGGTGCACTGTCATTTTCCATGGCGGGTATGATTTCGCCACTTCAATTCGTGACGCGTACATGGTGCCTCGTATACGCCATGCTTTTATTTTCGTGACGTTTAAATTGCAGATAAGTCGAAGTTCGTGCCGGCGGTACACTCCACGAGAGAGTGCGGTTTGTATATGGCGTAAAAAGAAAAAAAAGGGAGGAAAGGGAGGAAGAGAGAGAGAGAGAGAGAGAGAGAGAGAGAGAGAGAGAGAGAGAGAGAGAGAGAGAGAGTAAAAAATATGACGCGTCCGACGCATAAACTCGCCGTACCGCGTGGGCACTATATCAAGATCGCTATGGAACGCGGACGACCGAGCTCAAACGTCCGAGCTGGGCTATATTTTACACGCAATACTTCTATCTCACGATGCGATCGACCGTATGAATTTTTCAAGGAGACGATTTTGACGCGGTTCCTCGCGGTGCCGCGGCACACCGGGGGTAACCGGGAGTAACCGGGGGTAACCAGTGCGCGGCCGGCTCGTCTCGTGTTTTCCGGCGACGCGAGACAATTACGTCGTTAATCATTTCGCTAATGCGTTACGCGCGGAAACACGCGTGAGCCGGCGAGATTGCACTTTCGAGTGTGTACTGTTGTTGACGCCATCTCAACTGAATGAAAACTCGTCGTATCTACGCGAAAATAAGTTTCCGACACGGATTCGTGACGCCTAATGGCGTTAGATTCTACGGAGTAACCTACTGACCGTGCTCGCTCATTTCATTATCGCACAAGCGTCTTCTTCAAATGTTTCCGCGTCTCTCCCGCCAGAAGGAAACATCCGCCAGGTGTCTCTTTCCGATTTTAATCAAGTCTGGTATGTTTATGGAGAGCGAGTGGAATTAAAAGATACGTACTTTTATCGGCCGAGATACGAGTTTAGGATCTGAGACCACTCTGAAGAGTTTCATTCTGGAAATTCCAAGAAACTGATGAAACGCAATGTCGTAGATACAAAGATGCTTTTCAAGCGAACATTTTATAAAGTATTCGTAAAGTATCACCGCGTACGTAAAGTATTACGTACATGTTTGAGATAGAAAAGAAAAAAAAAAAACTGAGCGATATCACGCGACCTCTTCTTCGTTAATCCGGGGAAATTCGATCGTTTTATTCGTCACTCGTCATCGGAGCGCCACATCAGAGAGACTTTTCAGTAGACTGCACCGGCTACCAAGAGGGGATCCAAGTAATTTCGAATGAAGAAAAGAAGAGAAATACGGTTCGTTGTCGTGACAGTTGCCACGTGTTGCTATAGTTGCTATCGCGCGCGAGTGCTAGCGTGACGAATACAACTCGCGAGCGCGAGCGCAGCAGATAGCCGCGATTTAATTAAAACGTGCCACATCGCATTGCACATTCGCACGCCGGTGCGGCGCGGCGACGGGGCTCTGCGAAATTGTTTCGTGTTCAGATACGAGGACTAAAAAGGCGATACGCCTTGTCTCCTTGTCGTTCGATTGACGTTACGCACGTACGACAGCTCGGTGGAAAATATTAATTCCCGGATTCCGTTTGGTTCACGGTTGCGATTATTCGCTCGTTTTCCCGCGATACGCACCGCGATCGCTCGAGCGAGCGGGGAAATAGAACAGGACAATAGCTCTTTACCATGCTGTATTAATATGCGGTGTAACAATGTTCATTGTTTTAGACAGTATCGGTGAGTGTGAGCGTTTTGACGCTAACTTTCATATCGATCGACCGGTGGTACGCCATATGCTTCCCGCTGCGGTTCAAGTCAACGACGGGCCGAGCGAAAACGGCCATCATAATCATCTGGTTAATAGCGCTTCTCTTTGGTAATTAATACAAAAGTATCGCTTCTTAACGGAATGACGTTACTCCCTTTCGTTGAACAAACAACAGGCATTATTCACACACAATTTGATCTGACAGACATAAAATGCAATACGGACTTGTGCGAATATCGCACAAAGTCACAACTTAACGAACTTAATCTTGACTATTTTTCCGTCAGACATTCCGGAATTGCTGGTGTTGCATACGGTGCCGTCAAACAGTCGAGTGCAGACTGTTCTATTCACACAATGCGTTTGGTCCTGGAGTCAAGAGAGCCAAACTACCTTCACCATCGTCAAGTTGATCCTCCTCTATATCGGGCCACTACTCTTCATGAGCGTAGCGTACTGGCAGATTGTGCGCGTCCTTTGGAGAAGCGATATTCCCGGACACAATCGTAAGAGCGAAAGCTATATTCTGTATTACAATTCGTCGTAGCGTAGCTCTCTCTCTCTCTCTCTCTCTCTCTCTCTCTCTCTCTCTCTCTCTCTCTCTCTCTCTCTCTCTCTCTCTCTCTCTCTCTCTCTCTCTCTCTCTCTCTCTCTCTCTCTCTCTCTCTCTCTCTCTCTCTCTCTCTCTCTCTCTCTCTCTCTCTCTCTCTCTCTCTCTCTCTCTCTCTCTCTCTCTCTTTCTCTCTCTCTCTCTCTCTCTGTCGCATATGTCGCATAATAAACGAGGAAACGACGAAGATTCGAAAACGTAAAAATTCACATTTCTATTGGAAATGACAAAGCGCAAGGGAGCTCCCTCTTTCACTTCCCGCGGTGTGAAAAAGAGAGCTTACTCATTGTGATTCCCAATGGGTCACGTGCGTAGGCAGGCCGATCGAGTCCTGAGAGTGAAGAAAAGGATGCGTGTCTTTATATCGCCGAAGACTCTGCGCAGAGGACTTTATGTAGGCCACACTCTCAATTTCACTTTCAATCTCGAAAGTCGGTAAATTTAATTGAATATAACGTAGAAGACTTTACGCGGCAAATCTGTATTTTTCTGTATAGGCGATGATATGCGCGTGTGTGTGTGTGTGTGCAACGGTCAATGCTTCCGTCGCACGTTGTAATGAAACGAACCGAATGAAACGATTTTCGAAATCGGATGCGCATTGTATTCAGATTACAACGTAAGCTGCTTATTCTGAAGGTATATAATGTAAGTCCAGTTTTGATCACCGATAATACAGTACACAGTTCAGATAATCCAGTCTACACGGGAGAAATGATCGGATTATCGAAAATGCGCGTCGTACTTTACGGTAAACAACAGATAGACCGGAGCGACACGACGAGAGTGTTACACCGTTACACGTAACTAAGAGGAGAAAAGCAATTTTGGTTTTTCGATGAGCGCTGCTATTCTGACAATTTCTTTGTATCGTACGTTACAGTGTCCACCAGGGTATACCATTCAAACGAGATTCCATTGTCTGGAGGTGGAAACCCGGAGGGTCAATTGAGATCCCGACGGAAAGCGGCGAAGATGCTGGTCGCCGTGGTTCTCACTTTCGCGATATGTTTCTTTCCGGTCCATTTACTGTCCATTTTAAGGTACACTCGTGGCGATATTCGCAATTTTATGGCGTTCACGCGATATTACGAAAGAAAGAAAGGAAGAAAAAGGAGATTCGGAAAGCCGTTCGGAACACGTTGCCGTTCCGTCGACAACAGTAACAATCATTCTCATCGACACGCGACACTCAATATGACGAATCTGTCGCATATACAAGTAACACGGAATCTGTTGTTTCAGGTCTACCATGGCGCTACCGTCAAATCAATGGACAATCGCTATTAGTCTAATCGCCCACTGGCTTTGTTATTTCAACAGTGCGGTGAATCCTGTCATCTATAATTTTATGAGCGGTAAGGATGTGTGCGTGCGCGTGTATATTAACATTCAACGACATTTCGTAGACACTGACGTGACAATCGGATCGGAACGTTTGCGAATAGCTGCGAGAAAAAAAAAAAGATATGAAACGCGCAACGTTCGGAATATCGATCGTGAAAACGAGCACTTTGCGACGAAAATGGTAAAGACACCTAACGATAACAAGTTATCGATGCGCTTCGACGTTCTCGTCGAGGAAGAATCAACTGCAATTCTACCGGATTTATATCGGGACACCTCGCGCGTGGGGAGTGATATTTCCCGAGCACACAGAGGTGTGCAGGATTACCGAATGTACTGAAGTGACTTCTATTAAAATGCATGACGCGTCGGAGGCATGCACGCGCGGTGCACTCCCGTTGTTGTTTCGGTAGTGCTTATTCGTCGTGTAAAACTGGTTCGTACCTCACACCGAATTAGCTCTCGTGGTGGAGTAACGGTTGCCAAAAGTCTCATTTCAAGTCTATTCTTCTTCGTGAAAATAAAAATCTGTGCCGCGGAAATCCATTGGGCTCTGAACGAACTCGCGTGCTAACGCGGCAGCGTGCAGGCGCACGTATCGTCCAACAACAAAGCGGGTCTCTTAAACGCGCCGCCACGCCGTACATACAAACTGTAACTCATAATTAAGTCATAACAATAATTGGAATTCCCAAGTTAATTATACGATAGATGCTGCATGCGCGTCCACGTAGAACTCACTCCCCTGACTATTATTCGTTGTTGTATATCGTAATATATCGTCGTGCGTCGTCATATCACATACGGCGGAGATATCAGTTTAAGGATCGAAAACGTAGCTCAGAACGCGGATACGGCGAAACGCTGACGCTACTTGTGCATTTATGCATTAGTGAGCCCGCTAAATCTGAGTGATCGAGTCATTAGTCGGACTATTCGGACTACTCTATATTGCAGATAAGTTCCGGCGAGAGTTTCGTCGTAGTTTTCGAGAATGCGGTTCCCCAAGCAAGCGCTACCCCGAGAATGCGGTTAGACTACCGGACAAAAGCACGAAGGGGTGTCATATGAGCTTGCGAAATCGACCGTTTTGACACGTGGCGAAACGAACGTCGCGGCTGACGAAAATACAACTCGAAAATACACCTGTACGTACGAGCGTCGTGGCCGAAACGACGTTCGTCGAGACGGGGACAGTCTCGGCAATCGGCACTCGTTAAATCGATCGTACTCGTATTTAGGGTGAGGCACAGTGCACAGGATAGTTATTGGTATTTTAGAGTATGTTAGTTATTGTGCTACCCCCCCCTTCCCTCCCCCTCCTCCCTCTCACGTCTTATCCCTTCATATCTGTTGTGACGAGTCAATAAACGGATATAGCTTTATATAATAGAATAGCTTCTGAATAACGTAAAGTTGACGCACCAAATATTTTACGTTCAATTATTATAAGTTATAAGTTTATTATAAGTTATAAGGCGAATAGAGCGAAAATTGGTTCGTCATGAAACACATCTCAGTCAGTTTATAAACATAAATAGAAGCGTACACATAGACTTTTCGTATAACTAGTTTTCGTTTACGTATAACTAGGTTTCGTTGGTTAGTAATACCAAATAATACATATCCGTTCACACATAGCCATTTTTTTTTTTTCAAATCATATCGAGTATGTGTGTTCTTATTTTGTTGTTTGATTCTATCATAAAGATAAACATTGCGAATAAATCTGTTGCAGGAAAATTTCGGAAGGAATTTAAACGTACCTTTTGGTGCTCCCGCAACAGCAGAATTGGCGCCCATAAACGTGGATACGCGAGTGTCTTGGATCCTCTTAAACAACGATCACGGATTAACACAAGATCGACTCACACAGTGTCCAATAATAATAATGTTCAACAAAGTACCGAAGTTATACCTCTCAGTGCTGTAATCAATATGTCGCACAGCGAGAAAATTGGATGAATCGAATTTTGTGGAAAGTACATCACACTAAATTTTCTTTGTTAAACTGAGGTTCACAATTCATGTAACGCTATCCTTTAATCAATTCGCTTGTAAATAAGCACTTACGAGGTATCAATCCGCACGGTGTCATTGAATTTGCTGCTTCATAAACATATTTCGTTTCATATCAATATTGCAGGTATAGATAATAAGAATCGCAGTAGTTAGTAATTAAAATTAAAATTGGTTGTTTGAACGCATAGCAAAATGTGAAAGAAAAATAAAACGTGCGAATACAACTCCGTTTGTTCCGATGAAACTTAAGAGTTTTGGTCTAAGCTCAGTATATTTCTTGCGCGTCTCATTTGTAATGTAATATTTATTTTCTATTATACATTTGGACATGTCGATCAAAATATATCTACAAAGTTTATAATAAAGTGTACGTAATTCTATCTTAAAGTTATCATATAAAGTTGTTATATATGATATTAGTTCTACAAACTGTACAATATATATATATATATATATATATATATGTATGTATATATATATATATACTACAGCAAATGACGTATATATATATATATATATTTTTTTTTCGACTTGTTTTCGCTTAAGTTTACACTTTATTGCATAGTAGTATCGTTCACATATATAAATTTCCTGTTAAAAGCTCCTTTTCCGTTTCATAGAATTTTGTTTTTTAAGGCTTCGTATGTGTGTATGACTTTGCCATTATTATATTTCTAGCTATAATGATCTTGGGGCGACTTGCAAAGAAAACTAATCGATTACGTTTCATCTGGACGCATTTCTTCGCAAATTTCAATGCGGTTGAGAATGATGTATCACTTCAATGATTACCGACACTTTATACTATATATTCAATCTAGAACTCAGAGATATACGTAGTTTAGACAATTTGAAAAAGGCAATGTACATTATCATATTTGTGACAAACAGCCAGTTTATATTTAATAAACTGTAAAATATATAATGCAAAATATCATGACAAAAGATATTATAATATAAAAGAAAATTAAGTGGTAAACAGAGATATTAAACAGCTGTTCGTTCCAGCTGTATGTACTCCCTTACGTTTTTCTTTTCGCTAAGATGAAATGTAATTTTATATCTTTACACAAAGACAAAGCAACGAGAGAAAAGTAGTGCAGAAATGCGTACGAAACACACAAATGGAAAAAACACACATCTCATTAAATTAATATAATTCTTACTTTTGTTTTACCCTTTCATCGCGCACGGAAAGTTACTTGTAAACACGTATAAAGATACATGCACACTTACGTTATTCAATGAAATGTATTTCGTTAATATTATAATATACTACAAACATTTCTGCACTGTAGATAGTTGTAACATTGGAAAAGTATGTAGAGTTATTAGTTATATCGTGTCGCAGTCATGGCGGCCACATAGCTGCCGAATATATTACATTATTAGTACACAATAATGGTTTCCGCTAAATAATGTGACCAGCTACAGTAAACTCTGCTTATGAGAAAGAAAAAAAAGTTATTCAATACAAGGCGATAATAACAGCAGTATGAGATTACTATCTAAACGTTATTGTATCGAATAAAATGGTTTGGATATCGATCTTTTGGGAAACTTATTTTATTCTAATCAATCGTGTGAAGTCTTTCAAGATTTTCCGATAGGTCACCGTAGCCATATACTGGACTACGATATCATAGAGATGATACCGTAAGAAGCTGTTCTTCGATTATATCGAAGCAAATATTAATTAATTATATAATTGATTATATAAAATTCTTAACTATTATAATTATAGAATTGTATGATCTCTCGCGCGTACAATCTACAAGTGTTCTGAAGAAGTAGAAAGAAAAAAAAAAAAAAAAAAAAAGAAAGAGAGAGAGAGAGAAATTAAACCAATTTTGCAGCCATTTGTTCAATGATATTACCGAAAGGAAAATTTCGGCTTCTCACATATATAACGAGCAAGTTTAGCTTCATATAAAATGTTAAGAGAATATTTGGCTATATATCTCGCAAATCCGTATTGCGAATTAAATATAACAATTAACGTACGAAAATATTGATTAAATAAAACGCTCAGCTAATTTGCGTAAACTATATCTTAAAATAAATAGCGCTAACATGGCTGCAGTGGCGGATCCGGATTCCTAAAGTTATAAGTCACAATATACACGCATGTTAGACACCTACTTAGCCTAATTAGTTTACTTAATGCGCAGTTGCAATAGAAAGCATCATTTTAAGATTCGACATTTTAATCGATCGTAAAATCTAGTGCTATCGCACTCCTGAATAAAACATATGCCAATAGAGAATCGATATTTGATTAATAATTATTCCGAGCCCCTGATATTTCTATAGCAAGCAATTGCATGCACAGAGCAATTGCCAGAGTAAATATGCGAATGGAGATATATATGAATGAACGAGATGTATTTTCCAAGCAGTATCCCCCTAACCTATGCACTGCGGATAGTCTAGTTCCGTTTTGTATCCTGTTTGCAATTTGGGACGAGTTGATGGGAAAAAAGATCGTACCATATGAATACAAAGTGCATATATATATATATATATATGTATATAATTACACTTTTCTTAGGCTGCCGCTTTTTCGACAATAGTATTTTCGGTAATCGCGGATTCAATGTTATTTAATTCGTGTTCAGTCTCTGTGGCGGTGGTAGTGATCGTAGTAGCGGTAGCGGCGGCGGTGGTAGTGATGGCGGTGATAGCCAATGTCGCTTGGTTGGGCAAAACCGTATCTTTTTCAATGCATGTTGTTTCCAGTAATTCTTTCACACTGACACTGTCATTTACGTTATCCTTCTTAATGGATGATGCGTCAAGCATTATGTGAGTATCGACATTGGTATTTCTGTCTACGCTTTCGTCGATATTCACTGTTCTAACTGTATCTGAGGAAGCTTGAATCTTTTGGGATTCTTGATCTTTCGGCGTGCTCGATTGCTCGACTTGCACACTGTCGAATTGTCCCGGCACAGATTTCTCGTCACTTCCAGCCACTGCATTAATCTTGACTTCTTGTTGCTCAGGCTGTTGCATATTACCGAGTTGGTTACTTTGTTGATACTGCTGAGTGCTTCTACCTCTTCCTCTGCCACTTTGCTGATTATCAGGCGGTGGAAGAATAGGTATCGCCGCTTTCGGTCGTCGTATAGGGGCTGTCTGTGCTTGCTGCTGTTGTTGCTGCGCTGGACTATAGTAAGTACATCCTTGCGGTTGAAACAATTCTTGAGGCGGTGGTGGTCCTTGAGGCTACACAATATTAAGATACGTAATAAAATTGCAAGTATGAAATGGAAAACGATATACATATACACTAAAAAAAGAAAAAAAAGAAAGAAAAAAATAATGTGTACACTTTGAACGTAGATTTCGAGTAACTCGAGAAGCGTGTATGTTATTCCTACCTGTACCGGAGGATTATATCCTTGGTAACCTTGAAAATTTGGTGGGAATGTTGGGCCATTTGGACCGGGTACATAATTAATTATACTAGGAGGTGCGGTTTGAGGTGGGATAAATTGAGGTGGCGGCACTAAGAACGCTGGTGGTGCGTAACCAGCAGGTTGTCCGCTGGGCGGTAGAGAAATAACAGGTTGCCCCGCTATGGCTGTTGTAGCTGGAGCAACTGCGGAAGATTGCTCAAAATGCCCTTGTGGATAGCCTGGAACATCAACAAACATGATGAATCGTGCGAGACAGCCGGCAGCTTCGTAAGATAACGCGCGATATTATTTCTCAATTCTCAATTAATAAATTTGCACTTAAATAGCTATATATACATGTCATCCGATTAATTAACATCACATATATCCCGTTCGCATCTCTTAGAACATATATACTCTTAAGATGTTTTTCTTTCCTACCTTGAGACTCTAGAACGGCTCTTGAATTTCCAGCTAGGTACGCGTACATACAAGTCATATACATTAATGTCAAATACATGCTTGTATACTACACCACGTGTAAAGCCGTATAGCCATAAAGAATAAGCATTTAGCCCATAGAAATAATGAGCTGAGCTACACCTAAGACTGAATGCACATATCATTACCTTGAGGTGAGAAATATCCGTGTTGTCCGTGTTGGGATGGATAATTCTGTTGGCTCGAAGTTTCTGAAATGGTAGTCCGCTGACGCTGACTAGAGTAACGTTTAGGTCTGTTTCCAGAGCCGTCTTGTTGTTGCTGTATGGTCTGTTGTTGCGAGTGCGTTTGTTGCTGGTGTGATTGTTGCTGTTGCATTCTAGGTGGTACCGCGTTTGATCTGTGTTGGTTGGAGGACGCGAAGAAACCTTCTACAGATGAAAATGGAAAAGAAGATAAAGATTGGTCCAAAAAGCACTATAGTTACATATCAATATTGCAATATTTGCAGAAATACTACTACAAGAATATTTAACAAGAACTCACTGCTGTGTCTTGCGGTCTGGTGATACTGAGTACCATCGCTAACATTGAGCTGTTTCATATCATGAACAAGCTGATGCTCATCGTTGAGCTGCGCAGTATTGTTCCTTCTATTCTCAACAGCAACTGGAGCAGAACCACGGCCTTTCGATTTATTCTCAACTATTCTGTTAGTGACCATATTGTTATTGGCATTGGACTTGAAACCTCTACCACGTGTTCTACTTGCAGTCAAGCTCACAGATTCTTGGGTATTTCTCTTGTTGACACTTTCTCTTGGTGACGCTTTGTTATTAGCCAATTTTTCCGCATCACCACCGGATCCGGCATTTCCATTTGCACTCTGATTTTGAACCGAATGTTTACCATCTTTCTTCCATGCTGCATTAGTGGATCCATTTGGTGCTTTGCTTTCGCTTCTGTAAATAAGTTTCCCGCATATAAAATAGTATCGGAATCCTTTTCTTCGTATGTAAAAAGTATGCTAATACAAATATAACTGATAAAACTATTACATACGTGGATGTATTGGAGACAGTAGCAGGCTTGGATTTGATATTATCTTGTTGCGATTGAAGAGGTGGAAAATTTTGCGTCTTGTTTTGTATTTTATTCTTACTACTGTACCAAGCAGAAGAAATTACAGGTTCTTCTACTTTTGTTGGAGTATTCTATGAAAATTTAAGGGAGAAAAGAGATCTATAAAGCTTGCACAATGATTAATATCATTAGATTATATACGAAGATCTCATGGCACTTACTTTACTAGAACCAAGACTAGGGAAATCCTCATTATTTTTATGGAAACGTCTGTTAGTTCCTCTACTGGGAGTATTGCCTGTTTTCCCATATGCATCTTCATCTTCCCAGTTCCTTGTATACTTGTTAGGCCCACGGCTAAGAAAATATATAATTTGCAATACATAAAACGGCAAAATTTAAATCAAAACCTTACTGCAATAAACTTACCCATATCTTCTTCTCCTTCTAGCTCTAGGTGGCCCCTCTTCATTTCTTATATCATAACCATATGTTGCTATTAACTCTTCAGGCTTTTTTGGAGCTTGTTCTTCATCGTTATACCGATCATGGTCCCATCTATCTCCTTTATCTTTCCACACTTTTTTCTCTTTAGTTTCTTTCACATTTGTCTGAGTCTCAGGGTTATTGTCAGTTATTTCATCAGTTGTACGATCATCATGTTCATAAAATGTCCCACGTTTTGGAATATATTGTGGGTTACGTCTGTCTTCATCATCGTCCAACTTTTTCTGTGGCTTCTCTTCCTCTTGACCATCACCACTTTCTCGTTGTTCTCCTCCATCTTGTGATTCAGCATCAGTATCACTTTCATAAATATCACATTCTGAATCTTGGTGTCCATCGGTTTGCTCACTGCTCTGTATAATATATTACAAGTTGTGAATCAATGAGTAAAGTAATATGTAGAATATGTATGTGAAATTCTAAAACATGTTAGAACATTCCTATGAATATAGTAACATTTGCTATATCCTAGTATGCAGGAGTAAATGTAAAATCGATTAAAATGCTAAACTTTGCGGAAACAATCGTCCGCAAAATCGTCAGTAACAGTTAAAATAAAGTAGGTCCATCAACCTACTTAAAGTGATCTGTCCTCAATTGACCCGACAATACAAACGTGATGTAAACTTCCGTCATCATGTTTGCACGAGGAATGTATGATGAGCGAAAAATCGAATCGTGCGAGATGCAAAATCGTCATCACCGCGTACAAGCTTTTTCAAAATTGCTTTTTCAAAAAGTTCCCTGTCTCCGAGATGATGAGAGGGAATACTTTACCTGAGTCTCCTTTGTCACATTCAATTCTTCATATGAATCCGAGAGATCATCGGACGATTGATTGGATTTTCGACGTCGTCGCGTATCCGACATATTACTCAATGTTGAAGACTAGGCGTCTCTACTTTTTTTTTTTTTTTTTTTTTCTTAATATTTCTGTTCTAACGACGAGAACGAGCGAAGGGTACTGACAATTCCTGCGAGACACCTTGACGATACCTTGGGTTAATCCTTCATTGCAACTAACGTGTGTACATGAGTACACGACATCAGATCAGAGACCTAACAGGACTATTTCTCAGTGTGCTGCTGCTGCGCGCTCTTCTCCACCTAATAGGACTAGGGATGGGCGATATCACCTCGATTATTTTGACATCGATTATTTTTATCTTACGAAATCGATTATCGTATATTTTTTTATCTTCTTGATTACTTCCTAAACGACAGTTTTTTATTCGATGTTACTAGAAACATTACCAATGTTCGTTTCTACCAACCTTGTTCAACTTATCCAGCTGGTTACCTCCATGAAATTGACCAATCGCAATTGGTCTAGTCTGTCGTCAATCGGAATTGACAAATACGATTGGTCAATTCCGATGGAATGATCAGTCGGTTATATATAAATTAATTGCAGTTTGTAGAAACGAGCATAATAGCGTTTTTAACTCCCTGACACCAGTTCAAATTGCTATTTAAAGCCGTTAAAGTCCAGTCGGCGATCCAGGGGACGCAGAGTCCTAGGGACCTCAGAGCCGTAAGGTCGTCGTAAGTAAATCAATCCATTTTGATTATTAGCATGAATTAAATTGAATTAAGCGGTTGATTGTTTTCCTTGCGGTCGAAGAATAATCAATTATAAATGATCAACTTTGTTTTACGACTTAGCAGCACTTTACAACTTCTATTGTAGACCCTGTTTAAGGGTCTACAGAGATCTACCGTGAAGATGAAATTAAGGTATTTACACAGGTATTTTAAGGTATTCTCGTTTACACGGATTTTATACACGGATCGTTTCATTGGATCGTTACGAAAGTTTTGAAGATGAACTTAAAATGATCTTGAATGAAAGAACGAACTATATGTATCTGTTCTTCTTCGGCTATAGGTCTATTCTTTTTGGAATAACCTCTACTAGCGTAATAAGTCGAGCGAAACGGATATATTTTCTCTCTTAATGTTATCATCTTAATGTTAAAAATTAAAATGAAGTTGGCTAGGGAATACTGTGACAGCCATTCAGAATCTTGCTTGTCCGGAAATAGTATTTATAAATATGTGGCATGCAAGAAGTTTATTGGCTACTGCGATATTCCCTAGCCGACTACCGCCGCGCGCGGCAAGCGTTGTCGCGTTCTATGTGCAATTGGCTTAACGCTCTGTATTAGCCTATTTCGTGGTCGTCGGTGTCAACCGAATTTATTCTTAACGACCATGGCGGCGGGAAAGCTCTGAATGCCTGAGAATTACCGAATTTATTTATTGAGCTTTAATCTTGAAGTTGAAGTAAAATTTTGTGAGGTAAGTTGGTACATTCCTAAAATATTTTAAACTGTGCGCTGATGTGAGATAATGGAAGAATGAGAAAAATTAAAATAATACGATAGAATAGAGGAATCTTTGATCTTCAAAAATCTTTGATGCTTTTTCGAATCCACAAACTGTTTTTGCATGTCTCGATGTCAAATGTAACGAGAGCTGCGACAACTGACAGCAAAGTAAAAATGCTGTCTATCAAGAATCTTCTTGCTGCATTAATTAATGATAAATAAAGCGATACGAAAAAATTTGATATCGATCGTAAATATGTCGATGACCTTGCGAGACATTTTCCTACTAGGTTAGAGAACGACATGTACGATTGGAGCGATTTTCTTATCAGACACTTTGATTAGAAAAAAATCACTAGCATGCGACACCGACAATTTATGTAACGTCGCGACGATAACGTGACTGCTATTCTTTATGTTAGTTCCGGGTTACCGGGTGTTTTACCAGTTGCTATCAGTCGTTACAAAAACGACGTCGCGACACGCTGGAACCACGCTGGAATTTCCATTTTAAAGCATGCCGATGCACGGGTGATATTAATGACAGATAACACTTCACACATGACCGATGGTTCACGAAAAAAAGCACTGCGCAACATATTGCACAGTCATAAAAAAAGAAAACGTCGTGTTATGTCTCGGCGTTTGATAAAAAAAGAAAACAATATTCCGTGGACACAATTCACGACAGAAGAGTCTCAAGTTGTTAGTCGTAGTAGACGCAAAGATTGCGCTTGCGATAATTAATGCGACGCTCTTTGACCCCCTCATCTTATCGCCAATTTAATAATATCGTTCTGATATGTCGTTAAATTAAGATTATGTCGTAAAATTTAAAGTTGTTACCTTTCATTTCTTTATAGTCTCGAGTAAATTGTCCGAGGCAGTGTGCGATGCGATAACATACGCAAGGAAGAGGATTACATCGTTACAAGTACTACATCATGTACTTTATGAGCAGGAGATAAGGGAAAATATTGAATCGCTTCATTGTGAAAATTGCATTATCTGCGAATTTGTGTCACGGACATAATGGGAACTGGCGAGACTTTGGAATAAAACATCTTTAATCGACAGTAACGCGGAAATGTTTGTCGACTTTTCCCGCTAATCGATCTTTGTTGGGTTCGATTTAACATGTTCTTTCTTCTTTCTCCTGCAAAAAAGTTACAGGTATTTGAATTATAATCAATTGAGTAAACGTGTAACGTTCAAAGAGTAAAACTCTAAAACTTGATTTTACATCAAACTTTAGAATTGCATTCAAAATGACAAAAGTAGATTATTCTATAGACGATATACATTGTTTTTATTAAATATTTTATATAATACGTATCACACCGTCGACGTTCGCGGTACAACAGTGCGTTAGGTAACAGTCATATCTACCTGTGCGTTCTAGCATAGCACAGGTCCTGCGTCAGCAACTGGAGCAAAAAAGTCCCTCTATACTCGTAATAATCGTTCAGAGAATAACTATTTCTACAACGTTTCATTAATTCCAATGGCAACCTTTGGCATTTGCGCGAAAAACGTTTACATAGAAATTGTAACTACAATGCTATCTTACGAGAAAAAGAAATTTGTTCATGTTATGTGAATTATTGTATTTATTGGGCGTTCGTTTCTAGTAGAAGGCATATCACCGACCAACGGTCGGTCTGTCGAGTTTTTTTAACGAACGACATTTGCTCGCGCGTACATATCACGGTGATGAACCAAGCACCCGCGTTTCCGATTCTCGATATTTTTTTGACATCTCTGACACCTCTGATATAATCAAGACTATCTTGACCGATAGCCTTTAGTAATGTGATTTGTATCAGGGCATGTTGTTGCCAATGCATTTTTCGTCATCTCGTTGCGATGTAAGGTATGCATTAAATATAATTACAAGGTGCGTGGTATAATCTCATTTAACTGGCGCGCATAATGCGATAATTGCGTAAGTATTTTTCTTCTCTGTCTACCAGGTGCCGATTAGAAATAGGAAATAGCATGTGATATTGATTGTTTTTCTCAAACTGCGTCAGAGAAGAACGAACGTCAGCGAGACCGAACAATCGTCACAACTATATTATTCTTTTTTCATCGATGTGGGCAGGGGAAAAACGGACCGGTTCGGAAGTCCGTTTCTTTGTAATTTTATTCGTCGCTAGTTTCGTGTCCTAGTTTTCTCAAGTCCTTTCTTTCTATTCTTAAGTCCAAACCGGATATTCTTGTTCCTTCTCAACGACCCGGATTCACCGAACTTACCCGCCGAGCATATTTGTATATTTCTCTCGTTCTCTCTCTCTCTCGTTCTCTCTCTCTCTCTCTCTCTCTCTCTCTCTCTCTCTCTCTCTCTCTTTGTCTCTCTCCCCTTTCTCCTCTCCCTTCTTTTCCCTTCGCGTAAGGATTCAAGAGAGAATTTAGGAGACTCGTCAATGTCAGGCGTAAATTGAAAATGGGGTCGAAAAGTGAAAGCTCGCTCGTAATTTCTAGTCGTTCAACTTTACACAAAATGTTCACAACGATACCCGTTCGCAAAAATTCCGTCAGATTACTTCGGTCGTTGCTTCGTATCATATCGGCCGCCGATGCTCGGACATTGCGAAGTGAGGATACAGCCGACGCGAACTCAGTGGCCTATTGACACGCGACGCGATATTCTCAAAACAATAATAATATCGAGGTTTTTAAAATAAACGCAATCGTTCGTTTGCGTTTGCACGAGGTGCAATGCACCTCGAAAACAATAACACGCACCTTATCGTACTGCTAGCAGACTGTTCAGAAAATGTGTCGATGTCTCCTCGCCGCGGCCGGCACGTTCGTGCAAAACACCAATATTATTTAAATGTCGAGACTGTATTCGCGTTCAACGCATTCCGATTATTATCATCGTATCGTCGAGGAGCGCAGAAAATGCAATGTAAGCGTGTCTCGTATTAATTGCTGAGCATTTTACCGTTAGTCGCGCGTCTCAACGGCGCACATAATCTCTCGCGGCTATATCGCTGCGACACTCTTTTCCTGATAATTCTTATAGCGTGTCTAGCGATATTGTTGTTTCTTCATACAGACAGATTCATGTGCGTGTGTGTGCGTATGCGAGATTATGTTTTTCTCAGAAGGAATATGGCTCGGGAGAAGGAGAGAGAGAGAGAGAGAGAGAGAGAGAGAGAGAGAGAGAGAGAGAGAGAGAGAGAGAGAGAGAGAGAGAGAGAGAGAGAGAGAGAGAGAGAGAGAGAGAGAGAGAGAGAGCGAACGAGTACCAACTATATTTCCTCGGCCGTTTCAAAGTCTTCGAGCGAGGACACGCTCACGCGAGCAAACTTACTTGTCCGTACCTATTAAACCAATCAACGAACTTACGAGGGTCAATAGGTATTTAATGCGTTGATTGACCTCTTACCGATTCGCGAAGTTGCTTTTCGACCGCGGTTATCCACGTTTCTCAGAACGGTGAAGGGACACAGACGCGGAGAAGTCGCCGTTGTTATTTTTGACAATGAGCATTCGATTCGACCTCGCGCGGGACGGGAACTAAAGAGATCGGTAAGACAGAGCTCTTAAGCAACGGAGAAAAATCGCATGATAGACAGGACTCGTACGCTCCAGGGGATCCACCCGATGAATCTTACTTAACGATAGCGCGCTGCTTATCAACGATCGTCCCGTCGCGAGTAATGAGGTCAACGAAACAAGGCCGCGATTGCTCGCGGCAATAGGCTTAGAGGTATTACGTACGTTTACACGCATAAACGTATATGCAATAAAAGTAATCCATTGTAATCGCTTATTGTCTAGGATAGTGTATAGGAGAGCATTAGCGTTGAATAGTACACGAAGAACGTT